CCGATTTATAGGAAGTTATAAGTTGTTTAATTGTTGCTGTTATGTAGGCACTATTTGCTCCTGAAATAAAGTGTTGAAGATCCAGTCCAAGAATCTGTATTCATTTCTGATCCTAAGAGAACACACGTCGAAGAGCTACATTCCCTGCTAGTCAAATTGTACATAATATATTGAAGAAGAAGGCATAGATATCAACTTTATTCTTCCTTCAGCAGCAGTAGCAGCAATAAGAAATCTTGATCAACTATCAGTGTCTTGGAGTCTCAAACAAGGGTTTAAATGGGCTTTAAAAAGGACTTCTCAGAAAATTAATTACCCAGTCCGGAAAAGAAATATCGTTCTTTTGTCCAAATACAAAGGGATAGACAGCGACAGCTGGAATTTTTTGCAAAGAAGGGTGCCCAAAAAGTAGAGGTTTCTGTGACCTCCAGTAAAAAGGATGCGGGTGTTCAAAATGTTCTGGTACTAACGATGTATCTTTTTTTTAATAACCTTGTGTTAATGGTGTCATCCTGCCAATTGCCATGATAAAGGTTGCAGCCATGCGAGATGTTTCAAGTTTTAGTGCCAAATGCACCAGCCGTCAAGACTCAAGATCACAGATTTAGACATGTTAGGCCTTACAGCAGGAATCCTTTGTACAGGAATAGAAATTATTATCGTGAAAATAGTTATAGATTATGTTATTTTGAATAATGGAAAAATAAGGATTTTGATTGTATTAATGATCAAAACATGGGGTCATGTTTTTGTTTGAAATAATTTTAAGGTGGATACACATGACTCATGTATAGGTCATATGTTATTTTATTATTGTTTAATTCTATTTTTAATTTCAAATCTATATTTTAACATTCATTAATGCTTGGTTAGTCATTAGAAGCAGACAACAATTAATTTGTCACTCCATATAAATTATGACAGGCTGGCAACTAGAGTGTTTGATCTGGTCAGTTTCATTAACTATTGTTTTAAATGGCTTAAGACTTAATCCTTCAATAATTATATGCTTATTTCAACACTTTCATAGTAACTAATTTATATAAAAAGACAAGTGTATGTAGGATGAATTATACAGTAGTTGGAGAGACCAACTTAGTTGCAGGACTGATTTATAGGAAGTTATAAGTTATAAGTTGTTTACTTGTTGCTGTTATTTATTTGCTCCTGAAATAAAGTGTTGAAGATCTATTCAAAGAATCTGTAGTCATTTCCAATACTTAGAGAACACACTCCACGCGATACATTCCCTGAAAGTCGAACCATGTTATAAGCATGAAAGGGCTACTTAATAATATGAAATGAAATGGAGTTTAACGTCCTACTGTTGGGCTAATGAAGACGGGCATACGCCATACAGTGTGCCATGAGGGAAATTTTGTCTGGACAGTGCACTACAGCCTACTCTTATATCGAATTCCACCTGTCAAGGAATCTTTTACATTTATTCCAATGTGTACACAGGACCTCGTTTTGTCATCCCATCCGAATGACTACACAGCTAACCTTGTCAGGCCCTCTGTCCTGCATCACTGACAAAGGGGAATCACACCGGACAATCTGGATGAACTCTTTCGGGCAATGCAGGGATCGAACACCTACATGTAACCTCCAGACTAGCGAGCCGGCGTCTTACCCACTTAACCATTCCCGCTTAATAATGAAGTGAAATGGGGTTTAACATCCTTCTGTTGTGCACCGACTAGGCTAATGTTTAAATGACTTAATCCTTCAATAATTATATGTTTATGTCAATACTTTCATAGTAACTAATTTATATAAAAAGAAAAATGTATGTAAGATGAATTATAGTTGGAGAGACCAGCTGAGGGAACCTATATACCAGTTGGAGGACCAATTTATAGGAAGTTATAAGTTGTTTACTTGTTGCTGTTATTTATTTGCTCTTGAAATAAAGTGTTGAAGATCTATTCGAAAAATCTGTATTCATTTCCGATACTTAGAGAACACACTCGACCAGATACATTCCCTGAAAGTGGAACCGTGTTATGAGCATGAAAGGGCTACTCAATGAAATAAAATGAGCTTTAACGTCCTACTGTTGTGCACCGACTGAGCTAATAAAGTCAGGCATATGCCATACAGGGGATCTTTTACATGCATGCCAATGTGTACATGGGACCTTGGTTTTTCATCCCATCCAAACGACTGCCCCACTGACAGGGGGAAACCACCCGGAAAATCCTGAGGAACTTTTTCGGCCAATACCAGGAACAAACCTCCAGACTAGCGAGCCAGTGTCTTACTCACTTAGCCACCGTGGCTCCAGGCTACTTATTGTTATCTTAGTTCACTCCAATTAGTGATTCATAAAGTATGGGCCTCCACCATCAAGTCAAGCGACTGCTTTTTTTCTACTGAAATATACACTGAAATATTCGACTTGACGAGGTCACAGAAAAAACCCTGACTCGTCCAATACCCCCAGCCCCTGACTACAGGCCTATGTAGGATTCTATTCACTTAGATGACGGGCCAAAAACATTACTCTCCGTTTAGTACATGTATCAACTAAATACCTAGATCATAAGACTTTTGCCCGAAAAATCTGACTTTAAAGTAGTTGGGAGGGGCGGGGGGTGAAGCCCCTGGCTACGACCATGATTGGGCTATTCTATATTACCTTAGCTCACTGCCACCGGTACTTAATATTGAGCGACTGGTTTTATCGACTGGGATATTTGACTGTTTTTTCGCCAGGATTATTCAACTGGTTTTATTGACTAGATTATTTGACTGTTTTTTTTCAACTGGATTATTTGACTGGTTTTGTTGACTGAATTATTCGACTGGTTCTGTCAACTGAATTATTTGACTGATTTTATTGTCGAAAAAAGTCAAATATCCCAGTCAATAAAACTATTATCTTGTGGCCTCATCCAGACGATTAAGCCAGTCAAATATCTCAGTCAATAAAACGAGTCAAATAATTCAGTCGATAAAACAAGTCCGATAAAATAAGTCGAATATCTCAGTCGATAAAATAAGTCGAATATCTCAGTCAATAAAACTAGACGAATATCACTGTCGATAAATCCACATCCCAGATCAAGTTGGGTCTTCAGACCAGATCAAGTTGACAAAATGTGCTTTTGACAGTTATATGATGAGAAGTTAAAAACAGCCGTTCAATAATAAGCAGGAATTGCAGTGAACTAAGATAATACCGAGTAGTTCAGTCATACCCATAGCCATAGCTGTAAAAGAGCCGGGGGCTTACACCTCCCTCCCCTGCCAAATAGTTTCAAGTTCAATTTATGGGGCAAAAGTAGTCTGATAATTAGGTATTTAGGGCCGGGGATAGACCAAAAAACAGTCAAATAATCCGGTCGAAAAAAAAATCAAGCAGATAATTCAGTCGAATAATCCAGTCGCTCAATATGACGAGGAAAAACGTAAAGCTTGACTTTATTAAGCAGTGGTGGCAGTAACTAAGATAACAAGCCAACAGTGAGGCTGATGTCCCCCGCCGAAATTGCAAAATAAATAGATGACACATATTAATTAATCGCACATTTATTTTTTTCACTAAGTTTCATCACTCTCTATCAGATAGAATCAAGATTATATTGTCCCAAACCATCGACAAATGAAATCGATTAGCTCTGCTTAGCTTCAGCTCGAAATGTTAATTATTGAACTCAGTCAAGACATTCACCTAATGAACATCTACATATACATCAAGTTTAAACATTCACCTAATAGACACCTATGCCAAGTTTGAACATTCTACCTCAATTAGAAGGAGAGTTATTGTGTTCCAAAGTTTCTACCAATCAAATTGCTTATCACTCTGCTTACCCTCAGCAAAAAATGTTCATTATCGAACTTAGTTAAGGTATTCATATAATAAATCTATACACCAAGTTTCATCAATCTCACTTAATTAGAACTAAAGTTATCGTGTCCCAAAGCATCAACCAATCAAATTGCTTATCTCTGCTTACCCTAAGCGGAAAATGCTCATCTTCGAACTCCATCAAGGCATTGACCTAATCAACACATACACCAAGTTTGAACATTCTAGCTCAATTAGGAAGAGAGTTATCGTGCCCCAAAGTATCAACCAATCAAATTGCTTATCTCTGCTTACCCTAAGCGGAAAATGCTCATCTTCGAACTCCATCAAGGCATTGACCTAATAAACACATACACCAAGTTTGAACATTCTAGCTCAATTAAAAGTTATCGTGTCCCAAAGCATCAACCAATCAAATTGCTTATCTCTGCTTACCCTAAGCGGAAAATGCTCATCTTCGAACTCCATTAAGGCATTGACCTAATCAACACATACACCAAGTTTGAACATTCTAGCCCAATTAGGAAGAGAGTTATCGTGTCCCAAAGCATCAACCAATCAAATTGCTTATCTCTGCTTACCCTAAGCGGAAAATGCTCATCTTCGAACTCCATCAAGGCATTGACCTAATAAACACATACACCAAGTTTGAACATTCTAGCTCAATTAGGAAGAGAGTTATTGTGTCCCAAAAAGTGTGACGGACAGACAGACGGACGAACCCATTTTAATAGTCCCCTGCTTTCTTCGAAAGGCGGGGGACAACAACATGTAGCCTACTCCTCTATAAATCCCTCCACACGGTTGTTTTTATTCCGAAGCGACTAGATACTATGCTGTCATCAGTTTTATGCATCGGACACAGACTTAATTCAAGTTGTTTATATTAGTACGGCCATTGTTTTCAGTTGATGACGTCAGTCGTTGACCCTTAACCCTAGATGACGACCTTACTCGCAAAGAGAGGTCAACACGTTGTTTAGGGGATTGCTATTGGAAGGAAAATCTCAATAAAGTTGTGACTTCAACTGTCAGATTTGAACTTGGGGGGAAAATAATCCAAATAGACAAAAAACGATGTAATCATATTTGAGTTAGTGCGTTTTTTATTTCAGTCAAACAAACTATTCCCAAATTTTAGCCCAACCATCGACCTCGTGTGTTGACTGGAAACTTCCTGTATGCGCATGTGCAATACCTTGAGAAGAAGCCACAGGCACAGATGCCCCGCCTTCAATTCTGAGACTGATTCCAAAAAGCATCGGAATTGGTAAAAAGTTAGACTTGCACAGTTATTAATCACGATTTTCATTTCGTGTAAATTGGCTTGTTTGTTTATTATATTATGCTTATTTCCCCTTTTCATTGGAAAGCAAATAAGGAAAATCTTAAAATATGTGAGTTCGAATAAAGAAAGCCTATGTTAGTTTGTTGTAACGTGGTCGCCGACCTCAAAACTTTTACTTTTAGTAAAAACTAGAAGTATGTACTGTAGTACCGTACATGTACATAGTTATAATTAAGAGAGATTTTTGGCTAATTTTCCAAGGCAGAATTTTAAAACCATTCTTATGATAGTGTTTTCATTATATTACGCACATATATAATATATAGGCTAGATCTACTAAAACTTTGAAAAATTATAAGCATAAGGAAGGAATTTAGGATGAAACATTGATGATGAAGTTGCATGTGATTGTGATGTTACATTTAAAGTAGCTTGAAGTCTCTTAACACAATATTATCCAAAAATTTTGACATTGAAAACACAAATTATTTGTCAATCTAAATCAACATTGATGTTGTGATCTAACTTACTGGGAAAAGATGGGCTTCTGATATCCAATATTTAACACAAAGTACCGTACCGGTACAGGTAAATATTTTACCATTGGTACCGGTACACAAAGTGCTATTTGCAACAAGGAACTCGAAGAACGATAAGGCATGTTAAACGGTGACTCTGTATTCTTATCTGGAGAGTATGGGCAATAAATACTGTCGAGTGGAGACTGGAATACCAGACGCTAGATTGCCATTCGATTGAGACTTATGGCGTATTTCGCTGAACATAACTGATTTGAAATAGAGTAAAAACCGAAATGATTGAATGTAAATCCGTTTATATACATTCATATGACATTCGTGTCAATTTCTAGGTCCCAAATATTAGCGATTTAGCTCCTTTAATTTAAAGTTGGTCATTCTTGCAACAATTTTAATTTAAAAATGACACTTTGGCATACAAAACAGTACCGGTACACAGTATATTTACAAATATTGCTACAAATTATTGTCATATAAATAAATGTCTAAATAATAATTTATGCTATAACAATTGCAGCCAGCAAAAGACCCGCATTGCGGCATTAGACAAATTTAGTTTTTACATGATGTACGGTATTTTTAGTTTTAATGATATATGTTTCAGTATATGGAAGGGTATCGCTGCCAATATTAAATGCTCTGCGACAATGTCGTTTCCATTGATTATATGTAAAAAATACAATGTACAAAGTCCTAATACCGATATTGATAAAGTCAAAATACCTCAAAGGCAAGAGTTAAATGTAAAACGTCAAATGTTAAGTGTTAAATGACAAATGTTTTGTGGGAAAATGCTTTTTTTGACGTGTCTACATTTTACATTTCTCTCATTTCATTTTCGGGGGATCACGTGGCTAAGTGGGTAAGGCGCTGGCTCGCTAGCCTGGAGGTCGGGTGTTCGATCCCTGCATTGGCCGAGAAAGTTCATCCAGATTTTCCGGCGTGGTTTCCCCTTGTCAGTGATGCAGGACGGAGGGCCTGACAAGGACAGCTGTCTAGTCATTTGGATGAGACGAAAAACCGAGGTCCTGTGTACACATTGGCGTGCACGTAAAAGATCCCTAGACCGTTGGAATTCGATATAAGAGTAGGCCATAGTGCTGCTGTTCGGGCAAAATTTCCCTCATAGCACACTGTATGGCGTATGCCCGTCTTCATTAGCCCAGTTCGGAGGACGTTAAACCCCATTTCATGTCATGTCATGTCTCATTACATTTTACATTTGCGCTCTGCCACATCCCATTTGTCCTTCACACTTTCTACATAGCAACTTTAGCACAGCATCAACTTGCATATGCAAATGTAGGATATCACGTGACTTATTAACATATATGGAAACCCGACACAAGCACACTATAGGGATATTCACCGCACGACAAAACAAATCAAGCTGGCACACCATAAGAAACTATCTAGACGACCGTGCGTAATTTTGAATGTGCCAGGAAATAATTGATAGATTCAAGCAGCCAAAGAAACATACTTTCAAGTTATTTATAACATAATAACTGGAATTTCGTATTAATACCCGTATTTTTATATTTTAAACACCCCCACTCTTTCCAATCTCTCTATAAACAGAGTTGAGTAGCCTACTTTGATCCATTAAAAAAACCCAACAATATATAGGCATTGTGCCCAACAAATAAATAATATATTTAAAGAGAGGAATGACTATACATCTTTTAGTATGGACATAGAGAATTTTTGATTAAGCCCTGTATCTTTATTTTAGTTTAGTTTAGCCCCCCCCCCCCCTTCCTTCACTTCAACTTTAATCTTATTTTGTAAAGTTAAGCAAATATGAATGTGCCAGAAAAGTATTTGCATATTTGAAAAGAGCAATCAGTGATACTTAACATGGTATCTGGAATTTTGTATTTAGACCAGTATTTTGACTTGAATACCCCTTTAATAGTGTGATATTTGTTGGATTTAAATTATGAAAATACGATTGTATCAGGAAACTATTTACATATTTACAAACAGAAATGAATGTGATTTTCACTAATATGTAACATGATACCTGAAATTTCGTATTTGGACATTGCCAGATCCCCTGGCAGTTGGAATTCGATATAAAAGTAGGCGATAGTGCCGCTCCCCGGGCAAAATTTCCCTCATAGCACACTGTATGGCGTATACCCGTCTTCATTAGCCCAGTATAGGAGCAGAACAGTAGGACGTTAAACCCCATTTCATTTCATTTCATTTCTGATCTACCGGTAAGCTTGTATCAAGTTTGGAAAAAAGACATGGTCTTGCGATAAATACACTACTGTAATCCTGAATATATCCAAAGACCCAGCTTCGTTCATTGGTTGGTTTTAACGTCTGTCAGTTTCCAAGCATATCTCAAGAGAAAAGTTCCATCTTCATGGTGTGTAGGCTACCTGTGTCTGAGTGAGAGAGAGAGAGAAATGGGGTTTAACGTCCACTCACACAAACTAGGTCATGGTTTAATTTTATTTCAATAATTCGATTGCGCATAGGGGTCTAGCAGTGTGTGTGTGTGGGGGGGGGGGGGGACCGTAGGACCCAGAGAAAACAAACAAGGTTGAACAGGCCACCCTACTCCTTGTCACATACAACCGGGGAATCGAAACCACGGCAGTTGTTTCAATGACAGACCTTATGATACAATGTCCACACACTAACCACAAGACAAGGAGTAGGGTCTCCTGTCCAACCTTGTGGGTTTTCTCCGGGTCCTCTGGTTTCCTCCCACTGCTAAAGACCCCTACACGCAAGTGAATTATTAAAATAAAATTGAACCATATGTTGGTCCCAGAATGACCTGGTTTGTGTCGAGTGGATGTTAAACCCCATTTCCCTCTCTCATGATTTGTGTAATTTGTGTCTTGTCTGCAGGTTTGTTTTATAGGTTTTGTTTGTGTGTAATGTGGTCCTCCTGCACTTCTTATTTTCAAAATTTATATTAAAATTTTCCTTTTTTATCTTTCAGCATAAAAAATGGATGATATGGATAAAATGCGAAATAAACCCAGTCCAAAGAAGAAGAAAACTTTTAAATGTGATATTTGCTGTAAATCATTAACTACTAGTAGTGGTCTACTTTATCACAAAAAAATTCATAATGGCGAAAAAAATTTCAAATGTGATATTTGTTTTAAATCTTTCACTTTGCATAGTAATCTAAATGACCACCTCAAAATTCATAAAAGAGAAAAATTATTTAAATGCGATATTTGTTCTAAAACATTTAGAAGAAAGCCGGGCTTATCCGCACATATAAGAGTTCATACTGGCGAAAAAAACTACAAATGTGATGTTTGTGACAGATCATTTGGCGCAAGTGGTGATCTACGGAGACATATCCTATGCCATACTGGCGAAAAAGTTTTCAAGTGTGAGATTTGTGAAAAGCTATTTAAAAGAAGTGATACTTTAAAAATACACATCAGGACACATACTGGCGCCAAACCATATAAATGTGATGTTTGTAGTCAATCATTTAGTCAGTCATCTCAGTTATACCGACACAGGCCTGTTCATACCAGAGAAAAATCATTTGAATGTGAAATATGTCGCAAGTCATTTTCCCGCAAGGATACGTTAAATTCCCACAAAAACAGTCACACAGGTGAAAAACAATACAAATGCGATATTTGTGAAAAATACTTTACCTATCGTAACTATTTAAAACTTCATCAAAATATCCACTCAGGTGAAAAACCTTTTAAGTGTGATTTATGCAGTAAGTCATTTGCTCAGTCAGGTACTTTAAAGGGACACCTTAAATCACACACAGGTGAGAAGCCGTATAAATGCGATGTTTGTGCTAAGTCATTTTCTTTTAAAAGTGGTCTCGTAGAACACACGAGAAAACACACAGGTGAGAAGCCGTATAAATGTGATGTTTGTGGTGAATCGTTTGCTTATAAAAGCAATTTTAATTTGCACGTACGGAAATCACATGAGACAGAAACATCATAAATATATGACGTGTTTTAAATCATTTAGTCAAAGTGGGGTTGGGTTGTCTAGTGGTTTAATGCATGCGCGTGAAATCACAAGCTCTTTCATTGAGTCAAGTGGCGTGGATGTGATTCTTCGCTTGAACATGACAAGGAATAGGGTCGCCTATTCAGCCTCATGGACTGCCTCCCACTGCTAAAGACCCCTATGAGCAGGTGAATTATTGAAATAAGATTGAACCATATGCTAGTCTGGAAATGACCTAGTTTGTGTCGAGTGGACGTTAAACCCCATCTTTCTCTCCACCATATTTGAACAAGGGAGTTTATGTGGCCGTATCGTTGAACGCGTGGACGTTAAATCATCAGGTCTGTCATTGAGTCAAGTGGCGTGGTTGCGATTCCCTGCTTGTACATGACAAGGAGTAGGGTCACCTTTCTTTTCTCCAGGTTTCCTCCCAGATACAGACCCCAATGCACAAGCGAATTATTGAAATAAAATTGAACCATGTTAGTCCCAAAATGACTTAGTTTGTTGCAATTGAGGTTAATAAGATTTTATTGTTTTTATTGTATAAATAAAGGATAAATTGAAGTTCATTGTAAATAAGTTTGTACATATTTGTATTACATGCATTGCGACCCATTTGTGTCCATTTCTAGGTGACAAAGAATAGTGATTATGTTTTTTAATTTTTTATCAACAATTTGTGTTCATTTTATTTTAATTTACTGACAGTTTAAATGTGTTTTTTTTACATTTTTCAATTTATCTGTCTGTAAATGTACTGTTATTGTCCAGTTTATTTGCACAGGAATTGAATATGTTTATAATAAACTCTGTTATTTGCTCTTGTAATTCATATAGAATAGAATTTAACTTATGGGACTTGGTGCTGTGTGATGTAAGACAAGTGTCTAATCACTTTACTGAAGTCAAAAGGGGGAACTTGACTGAACACTCCGGTATTGAATTCTCATAATCCCAAAAATGCGTCAACTGCATTAGAAAATATCTTACCAACCATGACATCTGGGACATATTTGTTATGATTAATTACATCACGATTCTACTCATACCACCTCTGTTGTCGGAACTGACAGAAATGAATTCTGCGTCAATTAACTGCAATTCTGTCAATTCATTACGACCCGGACTGACAACTGACAGGACTGAATTCTGCATCACTCAATTGCAATTCTGTCAATTCATAACGTTCTGGCTAATTGAGCACCCCTTTAGTGTATAAATAATACAAAAGGTATTTTGATAAAAGATTCAGATCATGTTCTTTTTTATAGACAGGAAATTTATACTTTGCCAAGATGAATAAAAAAACTTCAGTGGTAACTGTTTTTATTATTTTACATTATAATACATATCAATAAATAATTAAATAGATCAACTAAGATATGAATAAAAGTCTTGATATATAATTCTTCTTTCTGGACGGAATGTTGAGGAGATTTACCACTCAGAAATCTGCAAAAAAAACCCCAAAAACATAAATTATTGTTAAAGGGAGATAATAGATATTTGTAATATGGGGAACAATTAGTGTTGACCATTATTATTTATTGCTATTATTTTCTGTGGTAACGTGTGCAATGTAGGTTAAGACTTATTCAAGGACAGCAGCATTTCTATCTAATTTAAGGGGAACCACACTTGGAATATCTCTTGAGATTCTTCTCCATTCAGGTTAGAATTCTAACCTTCGACATTTTAGTAATGGATCAAATATCCCAACTGTCACTGACAATATCCATATAGCATAATTGCTTGATAAAGACTTAGACTAGAGAATCCTACTTGAAATGTTGCTCCGAGTAATTGTTTTACAGAGAATTGTGTATTTCCATTTCAATTATTAAATGCTATTAATACAAGTTCATGCACATAACCCTTGGAAATGTACAAGTTCAATTGTGCTTGGCATTATTAATAACATGGGTTTGAACTCACATTTTGTATAGATGACAGATCTTAACATAGCCACCCCACCATCCCTTGAACTGGTTAAAGTCTATTACCTTTGTAAGAGATCAAACATACACCTCAGTTGAATTTCTTTCTTTAGCTCGTCTTTCTGATAGTCTTCTGTAGTTGTCTAATTCCTGCAACAAATCACAAAATGTCAAGTCGAAAATCAATCTGATTAAAACACAGATCCTATTTCGTTTTGTATTTTATTGTTCAAAATTTCGTTTTACCCGTCTTTGCTACACTAGGATCTGAAAGAGTTGTTATTTAACTCGTGTTCTGAATGGTGTCAGGGATAAGCCAATGAAATGGTCTGTTACGGGGTGCTTTAGGCATGTTTTGCACGGAACTGTGGGTAATCCACTAGTAACATCAATGCTGATTGGTTAATCAAATGTCTGACATCATAAGGTCAAAAGTCGGTCTTTTGACCTCTGATGTGACCTATCGCTATAACTTGTCAGATCTTCATGTAGTGTAGGCGCCATCGAAAGTATAAAAATACCAAACGAAATATAGATCTGTATTTTAATCAGATTAGACGAAAATAGTAACAATATACAAGCGAAAGAAAGAGAGAGATAGAGAAATGGGGTTTAACTACACTTGACCCAAACTAGGTCATTGTGGGACTAACATACAATTAAATTTTTGTTTCAATAATTCGCTTGTGCATAGGGGTCTTTAGCAGTGGAGGAAACTAGAGGAGCTAGAGAAAACCAGGAGGTTGGACAGGTTACCCTACTCCTTGTCACGTACAACCAGGGAATCGAAACCACACCACTTGACACAATGACAGACCTTATGATCTAATATGCATGCGTTAAAACCATTCGACCACCTAACCTAGATAAATATAATAACAAACATGGCAGGTAGTCTAGATACAGTATGAGAATGAGGCTGCTTCGTTAAATCTGGTAGTAAAAGGGAGATCAATCTGATCAATACACGTACAGTTGGACAGCAGACCACCAATATTTCCACCATCCTAGGTCAGTGCTTACATGTATGTGCGTATTTAAACCCTCTCCCAAATTCTTCAACCTAACCCTAATCAGGGTTTCCATGTGGGCGTATAAAAACGTCCAGCTCTTTATCTAAATCTTACACAATTTATCTTTAAATATATTAAAGGGGCATTATGGAAGATTAGATAAAAGAGCTGACAGTTCTCACTATAATAGTTAAAAACTAGATAATGTAAAGAGAATATGCTGAAAATTTCAAATTGCTCCACTCTGAATCGAGATATTAGCGTTTGAATTTTAGGCTTTGCCTCGATCATCATTACTAAAGTCGGTATGATAAAAAAACATAGTCTCGATTATCCAATTTTGGATTAAATCATCAACGAATATTGAGCAGCAAATTGCATTCAAATCCAGTGAATGTTTAAATACTAGCAGGATACCCGGCTTCGCCCGTGGCCAAATTGAACCAAATCATGGCCTAAAACATTCACAGGGTCATTCTGGTTTATTTGATACCACTTATGTGGGGTGGACCACGTCAACGAAGCGTGATGACCGAACATACATACACACAGACATCTTTGATTTTATTCCATCTAGATGTGTTTGTTTCAAATTAAAGGAATAACAAACCCCATCTTTCTGCATTCTGAGTTTATCTATACTTGGTTCAGCAAACTGGGCATCTTTTGCAGGATCTTTTACTGTTCCAGGATTATTGGTATTCTAAAATATAATTTGATTATTTAAATTACGATAAACCTATTTGAAATTTGGATGCATCAGTTCCTTCCAATACTAGTCTTTCTCTTTTTGGCTTAACATTGAAGAAGATGGCTTGAATGGACATTTTCTGGGCTAAATCTATTTAAGGCCAGCTCAATTTTCTTCAAGGTCGCTGAGAAGTAAATAAGGTTAGGGCACATGATTGTTAGCGAGATTGTAGGTTAGGGTTTGGGAAAGCATTAGGGCTAGGTCCAGGGTTGGGATTTACATCTCGTGACCATTGACCTAACTTGAAGTTGGCCTTATCAAATAGACCTAACCCATTTTCTGCTAGGTTTTGGTAAATATTCATGGTTTAGCAGCAGAAGGATAACAGACAAGGTTGGTTACAATGAACAATGATATGTATGGCAGATATTTACATGTTTATAGAATGAGATTTAAAGTTGGTGTATCTTTATAATTTCCATGGTCAAACATGGAACCAACACATGGGCAAAAGAAATTTGTAGCAAATGAGATGAATAATGTCTTAATGTCCAGTTCCAAATGGAATTAATATTCTGGAATCTTTCACCTGCTGTAGCGGTTTACATCCCAAGTAACTACCGGAAATCGTTTCACAATACTGGTTATTTTTAAGTCTGAACCATGCTACCAATACCCTGATGGTACGACTCAACCCACAACTATAGCTAGATGCTAATGTCACATATATATAATTTACCTCTTGTGGAAAAAATCCTGTAAAGGCCACCTTCCATAATTCCATTGGATTTCTAAAATGGATAAACTACTGTTAATTCAATATAGTAGTATTACAATAAGTTCATTTTGTAAAATTATTTCTAAGCACATGTACTGACCACAGGTGAATATCAATACCTTGCTCATTCATCACAAGCTAAAACTTTCAAGAGACTAATTAAAAGGGACTGTTTCAAATTAATAAAATACAAAGTTAAGTCTGAATAACAACCTATACACATGTGTTAAAGGAAGTTTAACTGATTTACAGTTTAAGAACACAAGTAAATTTACAATGTGTAAAGCTACTGGTTGAGTGAATAGTTATAACTTACTTGGCATGAACACGACCAATATCTTGTTCTGACAGTGGTGGATTGCCTTTAAAAATAAAACAATTTATAATAACAAAAATAAACTTGTATGTCTATGTTGTCCAGCTTTCGTGGAAAAGGAAGAAACAAATCAATCATATTTTTTAGAAATAAACATCTCAGTAACTTGTATACTACATAATTGTATCATTTTTTTTTCAGTTGGATTCTTCTACAAAATTAATAGAAAATAAGTGTAGGTCAATCTATGAAATGAAATAGGGTTTAACGTCCCAATGGCCTAATGAAGACAGGATTATGCAATACAGTGGGCTACAAGGGAAATTTTGCTCGGATAGTGGCACTGCGGCCTACTCTGAAATCGAATTCCAGGAGTTCTTTTATGTCTGTCCAATCCAAACAACTATGTTATCCCTTGGCAGACCCCCTATCCTGCACCACTGACAAGGAGGAACCATGCCGGAAAATTATGATGAACTGATTTTTTTCCAGCATTACCTCAGAATTTTGCTTTATATATGATGTACGTACCTATTTGTTGTAATGAGTCGAGACCAGCAGGTACTTGTAATGGTTTATTATAATCAGTCTGTAGTGTTTTACTGTAAATAAAAGTTAACGCCTCATCAGACAACATTTACTTCATTAATCATTTTTAGACTAACATATTCAAATTGTCTATCTTTACAGCTAAATTTATTTGTTAAGGCCAGCTCAATTTTCATCAAGGCCAGCTCAATTTTCATCAAGATGTAAACACGGTTAGGGCACCTGATTGTTGGCGAGATTGTAGGTTAGGGTTAGGGTTAGGGATATGTCCAGGGTTAAGGAGAGGGTTGTGATTAGTGCTAGCCCTGTTTACATTTCATGACATTTGACCAAACTTGAAGTTGGCCTTATCAAATTGATGTAACCCCATCTCTACTTAGCCTTAGCAGAAAATGCTTGTCATCCAGCTCAGTCAAGACATTCGCCTAATGAACATCTACAACAAGTTGGACTATTCTACCTTAATTAGAAGCAGAGTGACAGATGAAGAGACAGGTAACAAACCCATTTTAATAGTCCTACGAAAGTCAGGAGAGAATATAATACAATATGATTGTAAAGAAGTGCCCCAGACTAACCTAGCAGTTGTTTCAAACAAATGATGACTAATCAAGCCTCTTGTTTTAGATATTAGTTGTTCTTGTTTGATGCTGAAAAACTAAAACACACAAAAAATCTTACAAATTGATCGTTATAACATCCTGTCTGTGGTATTATGGAGTAGTGCTGGATGTCACCTATAATTATGGGTACACATATTGTTTTATACCACCTAATACCACTTCTACTTTACAAAGCTAATAATTTGTGTGTACTTTAGTATAGAAGCAAAAATTGATCTATATACATTGTATATATATATCCAAAAAAACAATAGTATGAATAGAACAACTATATCATTATTAATTGTTTAATCACTGTCTAATATTTTCCACCACATGGGCATCATCAGGAGATAACGTTAATATTGTTATGTTAATTGTTTAATCACTGTCTAATATTTTCCACCACATGGGCATCATCAGGAGATAACGTTAATATTGTTATGTTATGTCCTGATGATGCCCCTGTGGTGGAAAATATTAGACATTGATTAAACAATTAATAATGATATAGTTGTTCTATTCATACTATTGTTTTTTTGATATTTAATACTGAGAGCTGAAATCTTTACCTTTATTATATATAAAAAAGAAAGTGTGTTTGTTTGCTTGCTATAAGAAACTGAACCATTGAACTAATAAATTTCTTAGTAGACATTTCTGGTGCAATTTATTTTGTATCTGTGGCTATATTTAAGATGATATTGACCATGAATGATTATTGCATTATAAAAATGGACATAAACTCTATCCGTGCAAGGCTGGGTAACATTGCTAATTTAAACTAATCAAATACTTCATTATGTGATTAGATTTCTAATTAGCTGAATACCAATAAACATGTATTATGTGTGAATTGTTGATAATCAGTTTAACACCCACATAGGTTTATGTGTATTCATCATTATACACTTAAAGATGTGACCTATTGGTAATGAGTTCAACACCCTGATGTGTATTACGTTCTGTGTATTCTCTATTGGTAATGTGTGACCTATTGGTAACGAGTTCAACACCCTGATGGGTTTTACTTTCTGTGTATTCTCTAATTGTATATTCAAATGTATGACCTATTTAATATTTAAATGTGTGACCTATTGGTAATGAGTTCAAACCCCTGATGTGTATTACTTTCTGTGTATTCTTTAATTGCACATTTAAATGTGTGATCTATTGGTAATGTGTTTAACACTCTGATGTGTATTACTTTCTGTGTGACCTATTGGTAATGAGTTTAACCCCCTGATGTATATTACTTTCTGTGTATTCATCATTATACACTTAGAAATGTGAACTATTGGTAATAAGTTCAACATTCTGATGTGTATTACTTTCTGTGTATTCATCATTATACACTTAGAAATGTGAACTACTGGTAATAAGTTCAACATTCTGATGTGTATTACTTTCTGTGTATTCTCTCCTTTTACATTTAAATGAGTATCATAGATATACTTGGTGCGAAATATTAACAGTTTAATATGTATATTGGATGTTTGTATAGATGTGTATTGGTGATATACGGATGGTAAGCTTCTGATAAAAAGAATTTTAATACCCTCATCACTTTACCAGGTAGACCTTTTAGCTGGAAAGCGCAGACTTTGGATTCGCGATGATTCAGGAATCTGATAGGCTCCCAAGCCTGGTGTGTACCCAATTGAAATTAGTGCCGAAATATGCAAGGTATTACGTGAAGGCCTTGACAAGATGTACGGAGTTAAAGCGAGATCAAGCTGTATGGAGTTAAAGCGAGATCAAGCCTTCTATTGAAAATGCTGAACCTAATGATTCTTAGTCTGTATATCAATGCTCTTTTTTTTTTTGTATGGAGAGTACTCAAAGTACAAACTTCTGGATTGTATTCCTAACATAATTTGGTTATTTTGTGATTTACACATTAACGATATTTACTGCACTAAGAAATATTATACTATAACTATTATAAAAACTTACTTGTAAAGAAGCACCATATACATGAGATACAAATCTTAATGTTTTAGTTATCACCTTTCTCTTCTCAGAATCCATGTCCTGTAAAATACAGGTGCAAATTATAAGATCACATAACACACAGAGCTGTATTATTTTACTGCTTCTGTGAAATGAAATGTGATTAACGTTCTACCCATCTGCACCTTTTGATGACAGGCATATGCCATGCAGTATGCTACAAGGTTAATTTTGTTCCGCGTTATGGTATAAACTTTTTTGATTTGCAGGGAATCTTTAACGTGCTGAAAATGGTATATGAAGGATCTCTTTTCTTTTGTCTCTCTATTCTGGATTACTGACAAGGGGAACCCAGGCTCGAAAATCACAACAAACTTTCTCTGCCAACACCTGGATTGAAACCCAAGACTATAAGTATCTACTTCCAGCTGTATCATAACCTAACAGAATGTTCTAACCACAGCAATTTGTATTCCTCCTATTCATTTTCAAGAAAGAGAGAGAGAGAGAGAGAGAGAGAGTTTAAGTCCATTTGACGCAGACTAGGTCATTTCGGGACTAACATATGGTTCAATCTTATTTCAATAATTAGCTTGCGCATAGGGGTCTTAAGCAGTGTGAGGAAACTGGAGGATCCGCAGAGAAAACCCAGAAAGGTTGGACAGGTGAATCCACTCCTTGTCACATACAACCGGGGAATCAAAATCAAGCCAGTTGAGTCAATGACAGACCTTATGATGCAACGTGCATGCGCTAACCATTCGGCCATCCAACCCCCCTCCCCATCATCCTCAATAAAAGAATTAATAATCAAAACCTTAATGAATTCGTCAAACTAGGTTAGGTTAAGACCGTCCTTAACTACAAGTCATATGTTTTCTTACCTGAAAGACATCAAATTTTGTACCAATAATAACTAATGGTATCAACATCGGATCCAACATATTCTTATCCTGTAATAAATAAAATATATTACATGATCAATCTAATCAATACTGATGACTGGGCCATTGTTCAAAATTAAGCTAACATTGTTGAGAATCTGGAATACAGCTAATGTAAATTTTAAAAATAAATTGCAGCAAACAAAAGTCAGCAATGTATAATAATTTAATGGCAGATGTTGGCGCAAGGCACGGAAGTGAGGGAGAAATGGGGTTTAACGTCCATTTGACACAAACTAGGTTAGTTTGGGAGTAACATATGGTTCAATTTTATTTCAATAATTTGCTTGTGTATATGGATCTTTAGCAGTGGGAGGAAACCTGATTACCTTGAGAAAACCACGAGGTTGGACAGAGGACTTTACTCCTTGTCAGGTACAACCAGGGAATCAAAACCACGCAAGTTGACTCAATGACAGACCTTATGATACAACGCACACACGCTAATCCCGCAGGTACTGAAGTTATATTGTTATTATTTAAAACTAGCTTACCGGATGATCTTCTCCAACTCTTTCCCAAGCTTTTTTATGAAGTTTTTCTCTGATCTTAGAATCATCAGCCTTCATTTCCGATATACAACTGTCTATTCTAGCTCGAGCTGCAGTCATTAACGTTTCCAAGGTAAACCACATTTCATTAGGTGCTGATAAATCTAACACTAACACTAGAGTTGTATGTCTAGAAATAAACATAAATACTTAGAGAGAGAGAGTTGGAAATGGTATCAAGGGTTGATTATGGTTAATAAATATCTTATTAAAGATACATTATGTAAGATTTAGATAAAGAGCTAGCCATTCTTGCTTAATAGCTCGAAATAGATAATATAAAATGAAAATATTAAAATTTTTATTCAAATTACTTCATTCTGAGCCTTGTTTTCATTTTTTAGTTTTGACAAGATGTGTGCATTGTGGTAACCAGGGCACCTGGTATATTGGAGACTTAGCCTCGCTTTTCCATTTTTAAATTAAATTTTTAAATGGGGACCCGTTCTAAGCTAGTTAAAATCTTGAATATCCGATGCCATCGAGAGTTGATTATGGTCTTGTTTTGTTAATAAATGTTTAATTAACAGTTTATATAACATTTCAGGCCTACAGAAAGACCTGTAATAGGCAGATTTAGCTCTTGCATAATGCATGTTTAATAATTTTTATAACATTTAGGACCAATAAGTCAGTAACTGGATTACTAGGGGAGATAATATTGCACAAAAAAATACCTACAGTAATGTTGAAGGGTTCAAAGGAATATCCATTAATTTTGATAGCCAAGTTCCACCACCTAATTCCCAAATATGGCCAACATCTTTAGCCTGAAAATATCAAAATATCCCAATTATATCCTGACATGTAAAATACAGATGATTTATATTTTACACCAGGGTTCTTAATCCATTTTGAAATGAACCTGACAGAATTGGGTCCCTTTAAAATAACCAAAAAATGATTTTTTGTCATTTGTTATGAAGAATGTTATATTCTAATGTAAGTGATAGGTTCACCTTTTGAAACATTTTCCATATTTAATTCACGTACTGGCTTGAAGTTCACGTCAGTAATATTCCTGAATAAATTACTGTCTTTGTTTATTTGATGTACAAAGCGTTCATGTATAGTTCATCAGTCGATCAATATTAGGATTTTTCTACTACTGACAGTATCAGAAAATGCCGTAGCCAAAATCAGCTGATAGAGCACCATGGCATTTCTTCATAACACAATTTGTAGTTTTGCAAAAGTTTTAATTCATTCATTGATGATAGACAAGTGACATGTGACAACTATAATTGAAATTGCTTTAAAATAAAATTCCGTAAGACTATGCCATATAGTCTTCAGCATGTCAGCATGTGCGTAAGTAAAAAATCATAAAGGTCAACGCTATAAAAACCTAAATCTAGCATCGTTGGTTTATTGACCCAATTCCAACTGATGTCACATGTCATTGGAATTTGGCATTGGAGATTCTGTCAGAAAAATATGTTATCAATGACTGTGAATAAATTACGTTGATCATGTGACTCATGTTGTAGCCATTTTGAGATCATGTGATACGCTGGACATGGACAGACGAGCAGATTTTCCGGCAATTCAATCGCCGGTGTAAACATTCGGCCGAAAATATCTCACATGCTAGATACGGACGATTGATTGGGCGAATGGTTCGCCTAGCAGATTCGTCATCGCCGTGAAAGGGCACACAGGCGATTTTTTAAAGCGATTATAAAAAAAAGACGCGAATGAGCGAAAAATTATGCTCATCTGTCCTAGGCTTTAAGATTGCAGCTTTTTCAGTGGTCCAGAGCTCAAGTGCTCAGCCAATGAACCATTGGTATTCTTAAAGTACTTAAGTTTTCTTGAAGAAGGCCCCAGATCTATAATACAAACTTTAATATAAATAAGAAGAAAAATATTTACAATATTATGTCCCTTGGCTCTTCTTCCAAATGTGTATTCTAGAGCAACTGTTGGCTTGGGTGCTTCATCCCTGTAAGAACATATCACTGTATACTTATAGGCAAAAATTTAATTCAGTCTCCCTATATGAAAAATATATCCTATTATGAACCTTTAAAGGCATTTAGTCATTGGATATAGAGCTATGAACTATAACATGAATTACTCATTTATTAGGGCAAAGTTTCAGAGAGTATTGTTTTCTTGAAAACCTAAAGTGAATACTCTTCAAAACATTGGCAAAATAAATAAGCAATTATTGTTCTTCCACCACTAAATGTCATTTGTTTCAAAATATGAAGAGATATATAGTAAAATAATAACCACTATACCTGTCTAAAAAGCGTAGAATTATAGAAGTTTTACCCTGAAAAAAAAAAGACGAGAATATTTTCTAAATATTTTCCACCAAGTATTTTCTATGGTTATGCTATGTATGCTTCAAGAAGAGGGATTTTCTCAGACAGTGGAATCTGCATAAATCCAAAACATTCTGTTTGAAAGTTCAGCCTCCTACCCAAAGCAGCAATGGAATGGAGTTTAATGCACATTAATACAATGCATATGGTTATATATTTTTATATGGTCAACTGTGCAATGCTTGGGAGGTTAATTTTGCCTGGAAAGTGTCATTTCTGCCTATATACTTCGAATTCCAATCTGATTAAAATACAGATCTATATTTCGTTTTGTTTTTTTACACTTTCGATGGCCTCTACTACATGAAGATCTGACCGATTGTAGTGGAAGGTTGTGTCAGAGGTCATACCAGCGACTTTTAACCCTGTGATGTCAGACATTTGATTAACCAATCAGCGTGATGTTTCTAGTGGGTTACTCACAGTTCCGTGCACCTTACGCCACAATCTCCCCATAACAGATCGTTTCATTGGCTAATCCGTCACATCATCCAGAACGCGGGTTATAACAACTCTTACAGATCCTAGTGTAGTAAAGACAAGTAAAACGAAATTTTGAACTAGGATGTTAATCTCTTATCCCATGTGAACAACAAGGCACACTTTTCTTGTCAGCTCCAAAGACACTAACACTGACAAGTGGGAACCACGCTAGTCGAGATTCCATTGCCCTGAACACTCGACAAACACACCCAAATCTTAATCTTACCCAAAGCTCTCCTAAGAAGAATGAAATAACTACTTACAGCATTCTTACTTCCACACAGAAATACAGCTGATTCATCAGTATTATGAGCTTCTTCTGCAATTTTAATAGGAAGATTTATAGCATGATTGGTCAGTTACCTTTTGTGAAAATATCATGCTGTCAGAATTATTTTTTCTCACAGAGTTACTACCAGTACCAGTGCACAAAATACTTGTGGCATGTCCTAAACGCAGCTTAAAATATCTCAGCTAATTTTCAACTGATCTATCACAAAAAAATGTTTTGAGAGTAACTGAACTCTACCATAACAGTACAAACAGTTTCCAGTCTCTTACAAAAAAATTATTTTTCAAACTTATTCACAGATTACACGTATATATTTTTGTAGTGATGCATATTTAAGTTCTATATTTGTGCGTAAAAACCTTGACTGTACCTTTTTCTTTTTCTTGGTCTAAAGCTAACTCCCATAAATTCTTCTCCATGATATAATAACTGAAATGTGTATTCATTATTATAATTATGGGGTTTAATACAGATGGGTTTATTTTTTTTAACGGTCACCTGTGCAATGCTAGGAAGGTGAAATTTGCATGGGTGGTGGCATTTCCACCAACTTTTCATTCATGTGCAGGTTGATGTATTCACAGGCAGACCTTATCTCAGGATGTATTAATACATTAAGTTATTAAACAACTGTACACCCAGATAAAATTACATTGCTCTAAACAGTATCCTTACATTTCTTTACATCAATAGATTTTGCCATAACATTTGTAATATGTGGCTGGGAGGCACACAAGCTTACAAATTCAATTAATGGGATGGGGACACGTTGAAAGAGAGAGAGATGAAGGGTGTTTAACGTCCACTTGACACAAATTAGGTCATTTCAACCCCCAGTACATGTTGAAAGTAGGCTATAACTTATAATATGGAATACACAAAAAACACATACTTATGGAAAAACAGCTACTTATTTATTTGGGCGACGTTTCGAAGAGTATTCTCTCAACGTTATCAAGCTAATACAGTAATACAAGAATAATGAGATCAATATATACAGAAAACTGTAACAACAATTCATGAAACCATACAGGACAACAACAAGATCAAAGGGGTTTATTCTACAAAAACTAATTAAGTGTGAAGAGTAGCCATTGAGTATAGTTAAGCAATTAGGTAGCTATGATGATAGATACAATACTACCGGCAGAATGGGATAGTACCTACAATACAATTATGATATACCATGGTTTGTTTAGATAATGGTAATTAACTTTATATGTCTGTGTGATTAAATGTACAATTAGACTAGAGTAACCCATATGTGTAATAATTCTAAGAATTAGAGTGGATATAACTGATAAATTGATAATAATATTAGAAAAATGAAAAATAATAAAAACTCATAAAAATTCAAAGGTTTCTTATCCACTGTACTGTAGAATGAGTGGGGGTGATGGAAAACACATAATTTAGGTATATTTAATAAGTTCATCATAAGCACTAGGCAGGAATATCCCTGTGTCGCGGTTGAGGTCTGGACTGTTTCTTTTAATGTGTATGGCCTCAATAATTTTGCGGGTTTTTTCTATCGGTAGGTTGGCCGCCAGGGTTCTATACGTTTTAATTCTGTGTCCTGGGTTACTCTAGTCTAATTGTACATTTAATCACACAGACATATAAAGTTAATTACCATTATCTAAACAAACCATGGTATATCATAATTGTATTGTAGGTACTATCCCATTCTGCCGGTAGTATTGTATCTATCATCATAGCTACCTAATTGCTTAACTATACTCAATGGCTACTCTTCACACTTAATTAGTTTTTGTAGAATAAACCCCTTTGATCTTGTTGTTGTCCTGTATGGTTTCATGAATTGTTGTTACAGTTTTCTGTATATATTGATCTCATTATTCTTGTATTACTGTATTAGCTTGATAACGTTGAGAGAATACTCTTCGAAACGTCGCCCAAATAAATAAGTAGCTGTTTTTCCATAAGTATGTGTTTTTTGTGTATTGCTCTACCCAGTTACTAAATGCCTCTTAAAGATTATTATAATATGGAAGTTGTAGAATAATCTTAATTATTAGATGATAATCATTTGCGTCTTTACACACATCACTAATTCTATATATTTTTGGCGCTAGAGCACTCTTGTACATCCCATGTGCCATATTTTGACTTAGGTCATCAACAGTGTTGATCCAGCATGAATGACAGTGGTGAAAGGTGTCATGCACGGGTCAGATCACGCTTAATCTTTCAAGGTTGAAATTCAAGTGGCATCTGTCACTGTACATGGGAGTTGTATAGCCAAATGGTTAATGCATTGCATTATAAGATTGAGTCAAGTGGTGTGGTAAGGTTTCCCCGCTTGTATGTGACAAGGTTGAAGGAGTAGGGTCATCTGTCCAACATCGTGGGTTTTCTCTGGGTCATCCGGTTTAAACCTCCCACTGCTAAATATCCATACCTGCAAGCGAATTATTGCAATAAAATTGAACCGTCTGTTAGTCTCTCTCTCTCACTGTACTCGTGTACTGTTAGTCACTTTTGTTTTGCTGAACAGTGTTGTCACTACTACTACTTAGTCTACTATTCTATTCACTGTCAATGTAGTAAAATTGTTATTTTTGACACAGATCTAATCTACGTTCCGTAACCTGAAACCCTAAAAATGAATACGGTTTACTGATACCTGTGTTTTGAAAGATAGTGATCCGTACCTAATGATATAAACGATATAACCAACAAATGACAGTTTTAGCTAGGTTTGTTTATTTGTTTACATGTGGAATTCCATCCGGAAGTTCAAATACACAATCCGCAGATAATGGTATTTCGGATTTCATTTTTGTAACGGACACAGATCGATGAACGGACACTACTGATTGAAACCTAAACATTTTAGGCATTGTATATTTTTTTAACGAATAAAGAAAGCAAAAAAACATACAGATGAAAAATTAATATTTACGTCTTGATAATCACGACTATATTGTTCACTGCGAGATTCTAGAAAATTCCAAGATGGAAGCGTTTGATAATTATATGAAAGAAAAAGGGTATAAAATACTCGCAAATGCCAAAAAACTAAACGACGAAGACTCCAAAAATGACCCAGAAGAAGAACCATATAGATCTAAGTATGCTGCAAGAGAATTATACCAAAATGTCAAGAATGACTTGAATGTTTTCATGAATGAAGATGCAGACGATGACGACTCGACGACCGAAATCAGAAATGTTAGAACGGCAATTTCCCTGAGATTAGCTATCAACTTTGAAGAAACAGAAGAGTCCTCAACATGCGAAGAACTTTTACAAAAATGCTTAAAAGAAACAGAAAAGAAGAAAATGAAAAATGAGACGGTGAATTTGTATCAGACAGTTTTAAATCAGTTAGCCATTGTATGCTCAAGTCGGAGAGGCGCAGACGAAGCAGTGAAAACAATGAAATATTTGCAAGAAGCAGAATCCATATACAAAACCTTCAAACAGCAGGAAGGTGACAGTCCCGTTGCATGGTCTGAATGGCTTGAGGAAAAGACATGTGAAGATGATGAATTGCTTAGAAACCGGGTGGCGAATTTTGAAAACACATATACTCTCACTCTTTATTATGCAGCACAAGTCTACACACAGATGAATGAACGGAGTAAAGCTGCAAGATATTGTCACGTGACTCTTCAGAGACAATTAAATTCTATGAAATATGATCCAGTTGATTGGGCTTTAAATGCTGCTAGTCTTTCGCAATACTACCTGTCTGAAAACCTCTCATTAGCTCGACACTGTCTGGCTGCTGCTAGTTCAATTTTTAAGGAAGCTCCCAATGATTCAGATTGTGGAAACGACAAGGACATATATCTTCAAAGAAAGGCTGACATAGAGAGGTGCTGGATAAAATATGGTTTACAACTCTTGGAATCTTCAAAATTTTATCTCACAGAAGAGTTAGAGAATTTAGATCTGGAATCAAGAAGTGGGAATGTTTTTGGAAGCGGCAACGATGAAGAGGCTAATGATGGTGATAAAAATGAGGATGATTTCGATATTGAAAACATCAGTGAGAAACATTTACGTTTTAACTTAGAATTGACTTTGTATGAAGAAAAAATAACGGATAAACCACTTTTGGTGTTCGATGATGCACGAAAAGTATTTCTGGTTATTCAGGAGTGGATTCAGTCAGCTAAAGAATATTACAAAATGGATGGTCATTGTTCAGATTATATTCAGTTAGTTCAAGACCACAGCACAGCTTATAAACATTTATTGTTCTTTGAAATGGATATTGATAGACAGTGTAAAATGCACAAGAAACGTATTGACATGCTTTTAGACATTATAAATGTCATAAATCCCCAGCACTATTTACTTGTACGGCGTCAATTAATTTACGAAGTGGCTGAAACTTATTCCTGCATGGCTGATCTTAAACTAACAAAATTGGAATCGGATCCAGGGTCCAGATCAGTTCATGTTGTCAACAAAATAAATCAACTAACACTTCACAGTATTGAACAATTCCAATCGTACCTGGACAGTCTTAAAGGTGAAAAACCCGAACTTCCAGATAAATTTGGAGAAAATGATGTTCGGCCTGCTCTGGTTGCTAAATTTTATATTGGTAGATTGTACTCTAAATTAATGCTACCAACTGTTGAGGAAAGGTTGGCTAATATGATGAAAAGTTTAAATAATTATAAGTTTGTTGTGGATTATTGTAAACGTAATGAATGTGATAAGGATAAGGTACCTAGTGAATATGATATCTGCGTGGAGATGGTGGAACTTCTTCCATTAAAGATGGCAAAAATACGAAGTGTATCAGGATTATAAACAATCTGTTCCGTATTGAACTCGACTTTACATTTCTAATTTATTTTCCAGTATTTATTTATGTGATGTCTAGAGATTTTATTCCTGGATTAAATTTGTAAGAATTCCATCTTTAGATTGCTTAAACTGGTATTATACGAGAATCCTCTAAATGTTGTCTGCTAAAAAATTTTTAATCAAGCAACATATTTATCAGGTATTGTGATTACATGTACTTGTAATTGTATTGACTTCATAATAAAAGGATGGACGATATTAGCATTTAACTTTTTCTGGAATAAATATTACTGCTTAGCTTGGAATGTAAATGGTTTGTTTTGGTGTTTTTATTTTTCTTTGCATTCCCCTGAAATCATGCATCTGCCCCAAAAAACATCCAAAAGGGTTGTGGAGTTTTGTGTTAAGGTGTACATGTAGGATTTACAAATGCAGTCACAGGCTCAATTCTGATGATCAATTCAACAACATTCACAATTAACCATGGTAAGTAAAAGCTGCAGCAAATCCTGGCTGCACAATTTTTATACCACCACACAGAGGCTATTTTAAGGTAATATCCGACTGATTAAATTTATACACAATTTCCGATAATTCCTGCCAGAGTTATGTCCCTTGATCACTTTGAAAAATCTTGTAGAAGCTCTAGTAGAGGCTAATAAAGTTAATATCCGATTGAGTTTAAAATTATAGTGTTTAAGGTCATTTGATGAAGAAGCCTATTGATTTATACACAGTGTATAAGGTCATGAGACAAACATAGAAACAATCGAAACAAATTCTAATGATTTCTGATTTACTGTTATAATTTAATATGTAACACAGATGCTGACAAATCTCAGATTTATAAGAATATTGTCCTTTAGTGATTTTGTGGCATAGTTGTATGGAAGTTTATTTTCATTACAGTTGTAATTTCCTGACCAATTGCATGCCATTGGATCACAGACGGTCTTGAGGTGATATTCTTTGCAAACTAGTCACAACTGTGTGAATTCCCCTCACAAGTTGTTTGCTTCCATTTGTTAGGCTTTGAAACTTTGATTTAAATCGCCATTCTTCTATTTCCATCTCACAAATATGCAAAAAGGCGCTGTGTTCAGACTGGGTTGAAGGCTAAAGTAAAATCAACTAAATCTGTTGATTTCTTCAAAGCTAATGTATGGTTTGTAATATAAATGGTTCAAATAGGGTTTCTAATTTTCTGCACCGACTGGGATAATGAAGATGGGTACATGTATACTCCATGCAGTGTGTTATAAGTGAAATTTTGCCTGGACAGCTGCACTACAGCCTACTCTTAACAAATGGTACCAAAATTAGTTTGATATGCAGAAGTGGTGGTGGGGGGGGGGGGGTCAGTTGACATTTTGTGTAATTTCGAATTGAATTGCCTATTATTGGGAAATTTTGCTCTGTTTGTATCTGCTTTCACGGTTTAACGGGGGATAGAAGCTACACTAGGGTTGTCCCAAGACTGAAATTTGGTGTATAGGGAGATAGCTCAGACGAAGGAGTAACATAGGCTTGGCGACGATGGACTACTACTTCTGGTTCATAGCTATACCCGTGCTACTGCGAGTCAACTGCTAGTGGTTAATATTTTTATCATCTGCTCCTAATACATTTTTGTGAATATTTGAGTTACAAAGAGAAAACAAATCGTTTATATAGTTTTATAAAACAGTTTTCTATTTCTGTATGTTTCAGTTTAACATAGTGTTCGTCTCTCACACTTGATTAAATACTTCTGCTGTACATAATAATTACAGTATAGAATAGACTACTCAAATAACAATAGAAAATAGTTTATAACATTTAACATACTATTAATTACACAAGGCATAATTCTATGGAATACAATCTATAACTGTTTATGACGGAGTGATATTTCGACTAGGTTTCTCTCCTTCTTATCAAGCAATAATAAATGAAATGAAATGGGGTTTAACGTCCTACTGTTTTGCTCCTAAACTGGGCTAATGAAGACGGGCATATGCCATACAGTGTGCTATGAGGGAAATTTTGCACGGGCAGCGGCGCCACGGCCTACTCTTATATCGAATTCCAACTGCCAAGGGATCTTTAACGTGCACGCCAATTTGTACACGGGGCCTCGGTTTTTCGTCCCATCCGACTGACTAGACAGCTGTCCTTGTCAGGTCCTCCGTCCTGCACCACTGACAAGGGGAAACCACGCCGGAAAATCTGGATGAACTTTCTCGGCCAGTGCAGGGATTGAACACCCGACCTCCAGGCTAGCGAGCCAGCATCTTACCCACATGATCCCCAAAGCAATAATAAAGACTAAAGAAGCCTAGTTGAAACATCGCTCAATAATTGTATTTCACAGAATTGTGACCTGTGTATTTCCAGTTTAATTACTAAATGCCATTGATACAATTTATACTATTAATCGAGTCCAGGACCATAAATTATTTATCACACAAATGAAGAATTACTCAAATTTGCAACTCAGCATATGACCGAAGATTCAACACCTCTTTTGAACAGTGTTGATGCCAAAAGATGAAAACAGTGATACCATTAGGCAACAAGCGACAGAAATTTGAGTAAAACTAAGTCAAAAGATTTATGGTTTTGGACTATCTGCTATAAATATGAAATAAATGATAATATATAAATGTGATATATTAATACTTATTGATTATATAATATGATACATTTATAGTTGATTATTTCATAAACTACAAAATAAAGACTATGCTATGTCATACAAGAATAAAATATAATGAGAAATTGCACAACATGACATTGAAGATTCAAAATATTTTGAAAGTATTCATGAATATTTTTGTCTTTATTTAGTAGATGGTTGGTTACATGTAGAAAATATTTGTTCTATGGCACACTGACCGTCAAGCGACTTGCAGTCATATAAAAGACCTATCCAGATAAACTAGTTATCATTACAAAGTCTCTGTTAAGAAAATCTCTTTAGCATTTTTAAGAAAATCTTAAAAATATGGTAAGAAAATAAACCTTGATTTCTCATAACATAACCATTTGATTTTCGATCAGAAAATCTCTTTTGGCATTAACATTTCATAAGGAATCTTCCTATGTTAATCTTGCAATAAGAAACTATTAGTTACACCATTCTACTTAATTAGAAAATCTCTTTAGCAATCTTCTGGATTTCATCAGGAAATCCACTATGAAAATCTCTTCGTTTTTTCTTATGAAAATTTTTCCTTAAGAAATTTATCTTTTTTTTTTTTTTTTTTTAATAAATATCAGCTTCATTAAGAAAACTGATTTTTTTAAAAGAAAAAATATTTTATTATTTCATAATGAGGAAACTCTTAAAATTTGCAACAGTCCTTGAGAAAGTAACACATAAAGCTCATTTACTCAACGTACTTAACAGAATATTCATAGATGTAAGAAGCAAAATATTTCAATCTCAAATTGGCAGGACGGATGTGTCTTTTATCAAAATGAAGCTTTAATTTAATCAGTGTTTGATATCAGATTCTATTTGCATATGATAAGAGGTATAAACTGGTTTTAGAAGTAGTTATAATACACACCACTATTATGCATAGACTTCTTTTACATACATTAAAGTGGTCAGGGTTTTTAATTCAGTGTGACCTTGACCAGGGACTATGACGACAAGCAAATTAACATGTATTCAATTTATTGAACCTATATATGTATTCATGTTAATTTATCTTTCGGTAGTCCAGTATTGTAGTCCAGGTCAATTCATACCAACAGTCACTTATTTAAGATCTATTCCATTAAGAAGAATTATGCCATCTATTTGAACCATAAAACTTAATGTTAAAATTATACCGCCCAATTTGCATAACGAGCCAAAAATAAAAAGTTAAATAAACAATTATAGATTCTTAATCAGGGCTTTCCCTTCAAAATTTTTGCCTATTGGTTAATTTTTGATGTATTTTGTTTATTTTGGATTAGCAAGATGTTTTTTTTTTTGCAAAGAATATGACTATTTTTAGCATTATCCAAATATTTTATCTTATTTTATGGCATGTATATTGACTGACTGGTAAGTTCCCTAGCCAGTCAGTGAGAAAAGACTGGCAAATTTGACTGAAATGATTAATCACTTTTCTGCCATTTGTATCTGGTAATTTGAACATATTTTCCAATGCATGATTTACATGCTTAGAATCTTGACTGTGAAAGAAATATATCCTGAATGTTTGTTTTTTGATCATTGTAGTTGTTCTTGACCGATATATTATCAAATGTCATAAAATATATGCACCAAATGTACTAGCTTAGTCTCTGACTAGTTAACACAATATGCTTTCACTCATAACACTTTAAAAGGTAAACAATACAATAACTTTACTTAAGTTACATATTAAAATAACTAATAATAATAATAATAATTTACAAGTAAAATATATTTAAATCCTGTCAATTATCTAATAGTATCTATACATGTGTATAAAATAATAGAAAGAAATAATAATATCATATGAAAATATACAAGATGAAGGATGGATGAAGAAATATTTATCAATTAAATAGTACTAAAAAACCATTCTGTAAATCGACGTAATTGAGCGGCAGCAGTTTGCGATTCTTCTTGAAGGCGGATATTTTCCTCACGTAAATTTTGAGCTTCGCTCTCTAAAGCTGAGTTTTTACGCTGTTCCTGTAATAAATAAAATAATTTGTTTTAGAGAGCGAAAGAGGTTTAAATTCCATTTAATACAAATCAGATCATTTCGAGACTTATATGCACAAGTACAGGCATAAATGACTTGTTATTGAATATTAAACCAAATCTCTCAATTAAGTTAAACATACATTATGCAAGAGCTAAATGTGCCTATTGCTGGTCTTTCTTTAGGTCTGAAATGTTATCTAAATTAATAATTAGACATTAATTAACTTATCCAGCCCATAATCAACTCTCGATGCCATCGCTAGCCTGCGATATTTTGTGGATTCGAACACATTTTTTGAAAAATAATTAAATGGATAATTGAGACAAATTTCGTAATTTTTAGCTTTTAAAATAGGAAAGTTCAGATATGACCATCCAAGGGTACAAGTTAGAATCTTCTTTATAAACAGTTAGAGACTATTTACCTGTTCAAGTTGTTTTTGAATTTGAAGATATTTTGTCTCTAATTCTTGTATATGTTCTTGTGGACTTGATACCATCGATCTCCACATCATACCACTACAAATACAATAATAATATTTCATAAACACATTGGCTATAGTTATTTACAGAAAGTCTAAAAATATTGTATTCACTTCTACAGTGAACAACCAACAAGAATGATCTTGGCTGCTTTACCATTTATATATTTTGGACCACAGGGCTAATGAAGACGGACATGTGCTCGACAGTGTGATAATACTGAAATTTTGCCAGGACAGAGATGTTACGGCCTATTCTTATTTCGATGTCCAACTGTTGGAGGATCTTAAATATGGGGAGACAGGGCTGGAAAATCACAGGGAACTTTCTCTTTGTCAACATCATGATCGAAACAGGGACTTCCTGGTAAGTGAGGCAAGTGTCTTACTCCCTGAGCCGCTATGGCTCCCACATCAAAACCTGTGATTTAATGGCTAGTGAGCCAGTGCCATCCTCAACATGACAACCATGTCTTGTCATTCAGATGTTTATATGGCTAGTGAGCCAGTGCCATGCTCCTCACCATGACAACAATGTCTCGTCATTCAGATGTTTATACAATTAGTATAAGTTATAATTGACTACATACCTGCCTGCACCCGGACTAGAGAGTTGTTTATCTTGGGGTGAAGGTGGTCGAGGAGGGGGTTCCTCTTCTCTATTTCTTTGTGGAGGTTTTTGTTGAAACTGGTCATCTGTAAAAAGAAGACACTGACATGTAAATATACAATAAAAATGTTTATATTTCAGAACTTAAAAACTGATTGAGAAGTTGTAACAGGAGTGCATGCCAACCATCACCACTTACCTCCATTTTGAGCGATTAACGAGGCTACTGCACACATTCATCAGTTGACTATTTATTCTACATATTTCAAATGAAAGAGATGCTAATCCAACACACATGCATTAACCATTCTACCACCCAGCCATTACCAGCAAAACCAGGGGCCTCCCGGTTAGAGAACCAGCCTTTTACTCAATGTGCCACCACAGAATCTGTTTATGACATTTAACACTGTATATAAATTTAGCACTTAAGACTGGAACGATCCAGACTAGTTGACACTGTATACAAATTTGGTGCTTTAGACTGGTGTAGTATTATAGGGTATATTTACCTCCTATAGCTTTAGAAGCAACATTAACTAAATCTGACCAGTCTAATGCTGTAGATGAATCTTGTACAGTATTACCATCAGCTGTAGTTCGACTTCTAGGTCGACCACTTGCTGTATTTAACATAGCTCTAGGAGATAACCTGAAAAAAATTATTACACATTACATACAGGCAGGGTATGTTAAAATTTGTAGATTATAAAAAAACCTCCCTTGCAGTAATTCCAAAGATATGAGTTTGGTAACAAATCTATTTTTCCCTGTAGTTTGGATTTATTACTCAAATGTCAAGCAAATTTATCTTCAATAGACTATAGCAAATGAAAATAAGTTGGATTTCAATGTCTGGCTTTTAAAACAAACAGTTTGGGTGTAAAATTGTGTTGTCGCTTTATTTAAATTTGAAAGTGACATTTGTTCTAGTAAGCAGTGTTGACTCTCGTTTATTCTGGCACAAGCCACTTGTGCGTAGGGGTCTTTAGAAGTGGGAGGAAACCAGAGGACCTGGAGAAAAGCCACAAGGTTGGACAGGCAACCCTACTCCTTGTCATGTACAAGCAGGGAATCCAATGACAGACCTTATGGTTTAAAGTGCACAAGTTAAACCACTAGATCCCCCCCCCCCCCCCCTGCATTACTTATAGAAACAAGTTGTCGTATCAACTGGCCAAATAAGCCAGTCGCTACTTTTATTTTTTCCACAAAAGTCTTGACCTCAATTTACACTTTACTTCAACCATCACAATTAAAATATCATGTTTATATTTCCTACCTTTGTTCTTTTGATAATTCTTCTCGTTGAGTGGAGATAATTTGTTGTGGTATGGGTGATATAAAGGCAGGTTGTATGATATTATCGTTTATAACACCTTTAACACTGTGTAAACTCTCATCTGACATAGTTCTCTGTAATCTTCGTGATCTTCTTCGATCTATACCATTCTATAATTAAATACAACAGATTAAACAGGATGTTGGCACCTTCAATATTTTTCATATAAAAGTTAATAAAGGGAGATAATTTCAGAAATCCAACTTAGACATTATCTCCCCTTAGACCACACAAGTGGTAATCAACAACAACCAGTTCACAAAATGAAAGTAAAATTCCAGTAAACAGTACATAGACTTTCAAATTAATAATAACCACGTAATATCAGGTGTCCACAGAGGAATAAGCATATTCTGCCCGGCTTAGCATTCACCACTACTATAAAACCATATACCGGTAATAGTATAACAATTCACTTTTTAGCATCCATCCCAATCATAAAATCATATAAAAGCATCACAACTCACCTGTATTTTTGAATAATTACTCAGATCTGAATCGGAAATGTCTAAATTAATTAATCTCATTAATTCTTCTTGAAAATTATTTGATGGTGTTTTATATTTTGAACCCGGTTTTTGACGAGCATTCAATGATTCTTCTGAAGACATACCAGATAAATTTCTGAAAAAAAAAAAGAGACAAAAACAATTAGTTAAATATCCAAATTGTTAAAATTACATTTAGTAATTGAACTGGAATATACAGGTCACAATTCTATGGAATACAATCATAGGCATACAGGGAAATTTTTGACTGGGGGGCAGTGGGGGTTGGTGCCCCAAAAATGTAGTTAGGTTCTTAGTATGTTACATAATAATAATAATAACTGTATTTTCTTATAAAACTACAAATATACATATTATTTACAGACAAATGATCTTATAACGATGAAATAATGTTTTAAAATTTAAAACAAGCAAATAGCAAATAAAAGAACAAACAAACATATATACAAGTTATAGAGGTTTCGAGTCTTAAGATTTCTATTTAATTGCCTAACTATAGACACTCTAAATTTAAATTGGACACATTCAAGAACACAATATTTTTTTTATACAACTTTAATAAAGTACAATTGTGTGCCCAAATTTTCCCAGCATTTGGTGCCCAAAATGGGGGGCGGCCAGCTCGTACGCCTATGAATACAATCACTGCGTATTACTGAGCAACGCTTCGACTAGGCTTGATAATGACTAGAAGTCTAGTCGAAACGTCACTACTATCAAGCTTGATAATGACTAGAGAAGCTTGGTCACAACATCGGTCAGTAATAAGCAGTAATTGTATTCAATAGAATTGTGACCTGTATATTAAATATCTAACAAGAAAGAGACGAAAACTTGAATTAGTTAAATATCTGATAAAAAAAAAGAAAAAGAGAAACTGGGTTATTTATGTTTTGCAATACTTCTTACGTGCACAGGGTAATGAAATGAATGGAATGAAACTGAAGAAACATCCCCAAAGTTGGGAACATGCCACGCGACCCTATTCCTGATCAAGTCAGGTACAAGTCTGGGATTCAATCGACAACACTTGACTCAATGACAGTCCCGATCTAAATCCCACACAACTCCCTATATCTTTTAATTACGACTGAAAAAAAAATCTTTTCTTAAAAAAAACCCACACATTTGTGGGAGGGGATGTGGCGGCTCCTTCCTTCAACCCACTGCCTGATATGCCTATGGTAGGTGAGAGAGAGAGCGAGAGAATGAATTATGGTTTAATGTCCACTTCACACAAACTAGGTCATTTCGGGACTAACATATGGTTCAATATTAATTCAATAATCTGCTTGCGCATAGGGGTCTTTAGCATTGGGAGGAAACAGGAGGACCCGGAGAAAACCCACGAGGTTGGACAGGATACCCTACTCCTTGTCACATACAACCGGGGAATTGAAACCACGCCAGTTGACTCAATGACAGACCTAGTGATACAGCGCGCATGCGCTAACCATTCGGCCACCCAACACCCCCCTATGGTAGGTAAACTCGAACCAAATTTCATTAGCAGAATTTTGTCACAGCATTGACATTCCAGCAGTCATCTAAAAGATAATTAGCTTGTCTAAAGTCCTAATAAAAATTTGTCACAATTCACTGATGACATAAAATATAAAATAAGAGAAATAGTTTCACATACGATTCTAATTGAGTGAGTATTACAAACAATTGCCAATCATCACTCATCAGCTGTTTTTTTTTTATTCGACATACATTTAACTATTAATTGAGCTTAGTTTTAGCCATACAGGTAGAGTGAAGGTGACATTTTAATCCTAAACAGAAAGATACAATTGTTGTCCTTGAAATGAAACCATTTATTTTGTCCTTGAAATGTTTTAACCAGCAAAAGTTAAATTTATGACAAATATTTCCAACGTGACTCACTTATTTGATGATCTAGGACTGCTATTATTACTACTATGAGGTGAAACATCTAAATGACTTCTTGTGTGACTTGGATTCTTTAATCGAATCATTGCTGGAGCCGAGTCTTTTCTTCTTGGTTGAGTAATATCGTCTAAAACACAAATATACCAAATATTCATCACAGTTCTATTGCGTAATTAAAATACAAATATACACTATGTTTCAAGCAAGTGTGTTTATGAACAATATATTAAAAATCTTAAGAGTCAATTCTTTCCTTAATTTCTGTCCTATTCATAGAAGTTCTGCGTCAAGCACTGCTTTAAGCAAGCTCACTTATTCAAAGATAAGTTAATGTCATTTACTTACTTACCACAGTTAGCGGCCATTTTTGAAAATCATGACTTTGCATGTCATAATCGATAAAAAGAAAGTTAAGTTTTATTGAATTGTTTCCGTCAACACTATTCTTGTACAAAACAAAATGAATAACTTTTCACTTTACACAGTGAGTATTCAAAGTGTTTGAATGTATTTCAAGAGACTACAATTGATAAATGTTAACTCAGGATAAAATTTTAAGTTTTCATACAGGAAATACAAGCTACACAAAATACTTAAAATTCAGGCTAGGATTAGCATAGAATGCAACAAAAATGTGTTATACAAAGGACTTTATATTTCAAACAGGTAGAGTTTAAGAGCCCAATAAAATTAACATGATAGACATTTTCAGCTGAGATAAAATATAGAAATCCCCTACAGCTATTTAAAAGATAAACACAAGCATCGACTCTTCAGTTACAAAATTTGTTTAGTTTTTCATAAAAAAACAGAAAATCGAAATAAATGAAAAATGTTTTGGTTATTTTGAGTTGAGACCTCATATATTCAGTAAATTTTATATCTCTAGTTGTGTGTGTAAACAGATTGAAATAATTTTGCCTATTTAAATAACATACACCAACATCGACTCTAAAAAATGTGTAAGATTTAGATAAAGAGCTGGCCGTTCTTGCTATAATAATAGTTCAAAAATAGATAATGTAAAATGAATATTCTGAAAATTTCATTCAAATTACTTTACTCTGAGCGAAGTTATCACTATTTGTAGTTTTGACAAGATATGTGCACTGATTGTTTATTATTGTAACCAAAGTACTTGTTTATTTAAGACTTAGCCTCGCTTCTCCATTTTTAAATTAAATCATTAAATGGCTGAACCGTGCCAATCTGGTTAAAATCGGAGCCATTCGATGACCCAGAGAGTTGATTATGGTATGTTTAATAAATGCCTATATAATAGTTTATATAACATTTAAGGCCTATAGAAAGACCTGCAATAGGCAGATTTAACTCTTGAATAATATACCTTTAAATTACAAAATTTGTTTAGTTTGTCATGAAAAGGAAAGAGAAACGAATGGGGTTTAACATATTATCAACACTATGTTTTCATCATTATTTAGTAATTTTTATATCTCTCGTCCTGTCTTCATTAACCCAGTTGGAGCAGAACAGTAGGACGATAAACCCAATTTCATTTTATATCTCCCGTAGTAGTGTGTCTGTAAAGTAAATATAATAATTTTATCTGGACATTGTTATTTCTGTCTATTCCTCATCTTTTAATTCCTATTGTCAAGAGAAGACATCATGTACATGCACAGGACCAGAGGGTTTTCCTAATGGACTTAAGACAAATTCAATATCAGTTTCGGAAAAAGTAAGCATAGTCTAGAAAATTCTTGAAGATTTTCCTCGAGCCAAAGCTGTGAGCAAATTTAACTCTACATTAAATAATTGGGATATATACCTTTATTGTTTGTTTTTGGTTCCATATAAGGTCTGCGAGTTCCGATAGAATTATACAGACTTTCACTCATCTGACTTAAACTCATGGAACTAGTTGGTAGATCTCCGGCTGAGCGGCCATGTTTTAAATCACTACTTTTACTAAGTAAATATTTGGTATTTTGTGACTGTTTGAGAAGTTCTAGAGCTATATTTCCAGTAACAGGGACGCCAGTATAAGAATAATCTGACTGACTAAATGCAGTGCTGGGGTTAAAGTTTCGACGCTGCATGGTAGACTGATTGGATGACGAGTTGTCAGAACTCTGGTATGCATTTTGAGTATCTGCTGAACTAAAATCACCACGGCGACCATTATTCTGAAATATTAAAATTTATGCATGAGGTCACCAAGACGACAATTATTCTGAAAAAAAAAAAATATTAAAATTTATGCATGAAATGAAATTCATGTTGATTTTTATAACTACGCTACGAATTATAATCCGACATTAATGTGACGAGAATAAGATGAACAATGTTTACCAGTTATGTAAATGTGTATTAGAACAAAAACAAAATATTTTGTTTGTTCCTGGGTGCTTAACGTGAGCTTTCAAGATGAATCAGTTGTAAATGAGATGCTAGTCTTGTCAGTGATGCAGAACGGAGGGCTGACAAGGACAGCTGTTCAGTCATTTGGATGGGACAAAAAAAAAAACGAGGTCCTGTGTACAAATTGGAGTGCACATAAAAGATCCCTTGACAGTTGGAATTCGATACAAGAGTAGGCCGTAGTGCTGCTGTCCGGGAAGAATTTCCCTCATAGCACACTGTATGGTGTATGGCCGTCTTCATTAGTCCAATCGGAGCAGAACAGTAGGACGTTAAACCCCATTTCATTTCTTAACATAGGTTTTACCGCCTCCATTTCCTTAATTAAAAGAGCAATCGTGCCTTTTGAGATACAGCAAAGGGCGGAAAAAAACAGAGGGAGAGAGATGGCGCCACTCGACACAAACTAGGTCAGGACTAACATAATACCGGGTAATAGTTCACTTTTATTTTAGGAGTCTTTAGCTGTGGGAGGAAACCGGATGACCAGGAGAAAACCCATGAGGTTGGGACACAGCAAGGAGAATATTTAAGGACATGTTCCTGTTATAGTTGACCAACTGATCCCTCTAGAAAATTACATATTGTCTGAAAAATGCAAATGACAATTTGCGACATTAAAAATCAAAATATTATTACTATTATCTTACTTGTAATTGGTTTTGATTGGATACAGGGCGTGGAGGCCATTGACGATTATTTACACCTGAAAATAAAAGATAAAATCTAGAATTAACACAGAAATGTCAGAGGAAAGGCTGCAATACAACTTTTATCACATTAACCCTACTCTTATCATATGACTGGCTAACTGTTTAGTCTACTACCTTAAATTAATGGTTTATTACATGTCTTGCTAATCTGGTCTATATGTAGTTCCAGGACCAGATAATTCACTGGAAACACAAGTCGTTCCACAAATTAATGATGTCTTTCTAATCTGGTCTATATATTTGTGGCTCCAGAACAAGATAAAGTTGTTCCATAAATTAATGGTTTATTAGATGTCTTTCTAATCTGGTCTATATGTGGCTCCAGAACGAGATGAAGTTGTTCCACAAATTAATGGTTTACTAGATGTCTTGCTAATCTGGACTAAATGAACCAGATATTTCAGTGGAAATACAAGTTGTTCCACAATGAAACTGTGAAAATCTGTGTTTGACTTGATGTTTTAGTCCAAGATGTATAAAATGAGTCAGGAGGGAGGTTTGTGAGTTATAATTACAGATATGTGTCACTATTTTATAGATATGTCACCATCTATCATACAGATGACAAATGTCATCTAACAAACATAATATGAATATATTAAATAAATTAAAGTCCCATCATGCCCATCTTCAATATAAGGCTTGATCTCGCTTTTACTACGTACATCTTATCAAGGCCTTCACGTAATACCCTGCATATTGCAGCACTAATTTCGATTGGGTACAAGCCCAACTTGTGAGTCTATCAGATTCCTCGATCGTCACGAATACCAAGTCTCGCGCTTTCAAGATAAAATGTCTACCTGTGATAATCAAGTTGCAAAGTTCATTCAATGTCAAGGGTTCCGTGGAGGTCGCGATGTCACAACCTCTGATTGGATGCTACTGCTCACATGTCTGTAGATAACAAAGCTATAAGTTCGGGAATTGTGAAGTAAACAAGCAACGGCCAGATGTTGTGAAACTCGCAGTCGTTGCTTCAGGAACATGCATCATGCCAGAATATAGAGTTCAAGATATGAGAGAGAGAGAGAGAGAGAGAGAGAGAGAGAGGGAGGGAGAGAGAGAGAGAGAGAGAGAGGTCCACTCCAGGTCTTTTGGGACTAGCATATGGCTCAAATTTATTTGAATAATTCATTTGAGCATATAGGGGTCTTTAACAGTGGGAGAAAACCTTTAAGATATGAAATAAAACATCCTACTTTTCTGCCCCTGGTGGCAGTTTAACACAATACACAATCAAATGTATTCATCAAAACCGGCTTCGATCAGGAATTATTTAAATCTACAAATTGTATCAACTTTTAAACATGCATTATGCAAGAGCAAAATCTGCTTATTACAAGTCTTTCTTTAGGCCTGAAATGTTATCTAAATTATCAATTAGACATTAATTAACTTATCCAGACCATAATAAACTCTTGATGTCAAGGCTAGCCTTCGATGTTGGCTGGATTAGATTCCTATATGGCGCTAACGGCTATTGATAATTAAATCAATAAAAGTGGATAATCGAGACTATGCTGTTTATATTAATCATTTTAGTAATGATGACCGAGACTATGCAAAAATTTCACCCGCTTCTTTCTCGGCTCATAGTGGATCAATTTAACTGAAATTTTCAGCAAATTACCTTTACACTATCTAGTTTTTAACTATTATAGCGAGAACTGCCATCTCTTTATCTTATCTCCCATAATGTATCTTTAAGGTTAAAGTGTATTTATTTATATATTTTGCACTGCTATCTTTATGTATCTCAGGTCTATTTTTTTTTTAATACAATCCAGCCCATTCTTCACTAAGCTATACTTGGATGTACTTAATGACAATATAACAGTCTCTACTTTAAAATATTGCATCATATTTACTTTTGAGATATGTAAATGGTAAATAAAGTGGACTGGTGAGCCTTTTATAATTAAGTTAACATTTTTTCTAGTACATATATTGTATGAGTATTCAACAGACGTTTTGCCCCAGTAAATATTGTGTTTGTATAGCATACTAAAATGTTTCAATTGTTTGGATTTTTGTCAAGATAAATGTACACTGTATGCACTAACATTTAACAAACACTTCTAAGTTTGAAATGACATTAAGATGCTTAAGTTAAGCTGGTTTAACTCTTGTCATCTGAATGTAAAGGTTGGGGCAAATAAACCAGTTCAAAAACAGATGTAGGCTAATGAGAGAGTGAGAGAAATGGGGTTTAACGTCTACTCGACACAAACTAAGTCATTTCGGGAGTAACATATGGTTCAATTTTATTTCAATAATTCGCTTGTGTGTTGGGTCCTTTAGCAGTAGGAAGAAACCAGAGGACCTGAAGAAAACCCACGAGCACTCTAAATGTCTAAAGAAAACAGACATAAGCCATGTAGAGTGCTATGAGGGCAATTTTTACCCAGGCAGTGGCATCTGTCTTGAATTCCTTCTTAAAAACCTTCTATTATATTCATGGTATTATTCATACTGTATAATATTAATATGTTGTTGAAATAAAATGAAGTGGGGTTTAATGTCCTACTTTTCTGCACTGACTGGGCTAATAAAAACGGTAATATGCTGTTTACAGTATATTACACTGTGTCTGTAAAATGCATTATAGAAGGCATTAAGAAACATGTTTATTTAATACAAACTTCCATAATATTAACATTTTCAAATATTATTCCAACTGTAAAATAAACAATTAGGTAACTCTGACCTCTATGTCGAATAGTATTAAGTTTATGAAATAATAATTAGCTTTAAGAAATTTTGTACTTCCACAGCACAACTTTATAATTTTAAGCAGCCATATGAGTCATGTAATCTGTAGTTGTGTAAAATAACCATGTATAATCTAGTATATAGTAAACCAGATGGCATGTTATCAAGTCTTACGAACAGGAATAGGACTTCTTGAGATATATTACATTGGTCTTGAGACTGGTTGTTTTTTGTCATTTTTCCAAACACTGCATTGAAGGAAATGAAATAGGGTTTAACATTCAGGCACCGTTTGAAGACAGGCATACGACATGCTTTGTGCCGTGAGGGTAATTTTGCCTTGGCAGTAGCGTTTCCACCCAACTTCTGTCAAATTCTTATGTTTACGTGCACTACAACATGTACACGACACCTTGGTTTTCCAACTTATCAAAAAAACAACATACTTTTACTTTTTGCCAGATCCAACAAAAGGAAACAAAGATGGAATATCTTGAGGAATTTTATTTGACAACACAAGGCTTAAATCCGGGAACTTTCGGTTTGTGAGTGAACACAATATTCACTCAGAACATCATAGTTCCTTATTACATTGTTAAAGCTAATCTCTACTGAGACATTACTAGAGCTATACTATACTGACACAACAATACTAGAGCTATACCCTACTGACACAACATTACTTCTATAGTATATCTGTATAATGAGTTCACCATGTTTCATTTATCTATATTCAATCTATATACACCAGACTAACAATTATATACGTAATATCCTCTAACTATATAAACACATACTTCATCAACTAGTTACATCAGTGAATATAATCAATTCTTCAAATAGTAAGACAACACACATAAACAATTACACAAGACAAATCCATGGACAGGACACAATAAACAGACACCACAAACAACAAATGCATATACCAAATCAAGTGAATAGATCCTGAGGCCAGCCTTAGTGAACCACAGAGTAATATTAGGCAATGTAAACTATTTCTTTATTTTTCTTCAGAGAGAGAGAGTGAAATGTATTTAGTTCTTTTTGGGTAGGAAGACAGCAGTATCTTTAATGAAATGTACTCAGTTCTTTTTGGGTAGGAAGACAGTGACAATTCTAAAAGGTATTAATCGAAATTAGCTGAAATATTTTTTAACTACTTCCTCTCTAGTCACATTCCAACAATAGCATCAATCGTGAAACTTTTCTAGAATCTGTAAAGGACCACACGGCCTTGAAATAATGATTTTAATGTTACCTTACAAAATGTCCGACACTAATGGACAAGTACCTGACATTTTGAACTTTGTGTATTGTAGGGGTACATATAATTAAAAACACAGAATACAGAAAAAAGACCAAGCTGTGCCAGACAAAATGAAAGGTACCAAAGGGATTGTGCCCAACAAGCCTTAATTTTTGTCTGACAATGGCTGTCAAAAGCGCCATATTTCCAGGCCTACAATTGTTGAAACATAATTATTAAAAATAAAATCAGAGCAGACTTCAACAGAGTTATTCAAACAAGCTTTCTGTAATTTACAAGTAAATCAACCTTCAGAATTATAAATATATATATATGTAAATAATTAATTGTAGTACATACTATAAAACGCACTTTCCCGGTCTCGCATTTCACGCATTTCGTGAAATCGTCGATAACTTTCAAAAGGCTGCATTTCTAAGTGCTAATCCAAATCCTTTAGTTAAGTTGAACAGAAGTTTACATAATGACTCTTCTCTTTATCATTTTAACAAATCCATATAAATTTGGCACATTCCTTGATCTAAAATACACCTTGCAAGCAGTTCTATCATAGATGTTGTAAGGTATAACAGCCAATCCTAAACGCATTCACACTTCAGATCACCCAGTAATAGCAGCATTAAGTTCCAAATCTATATACATAAAGCATCTGTGATCTGCACAACCCAAATAAAAAAATAAAAAAATTTTTTTTTGAGCTTATTCCAAAACTGCACACAGTTAGAAAGTTCGTAACCCAGTCAGAAATATTCCATCCCTCATTTTTGATTACATGACAAACTATTTAGGCTGTCAAAACAATAATACAATCTGTCTGTGACTAGGTGTATAAAAACATTCTACCAATGCATCATAACTAATCCTTTGTTGTGCTAACGTGATGATGTAGCCAAAAAAACGTTTCATCTCGTTGAAAATCAGCAAAACACAGGTTATACTGCTTCTGATCAAGTGCCAGAAACAAGCAGTGCAGGAAGAGGAGTGAAACCCAACACCATCTTCAATCTTTTTATTTTACTCCATACACACTTCAGTTCAAGCGATACATTACTACACATGCGTGTATGAAATCTTATCAAACACAAACACAGAGACTGGCTGTTGTAGATATACTTTAAAGCACCATTATTCAATTAAACACTGTGTAGGATAACAAAAAATATTTTACTCCTGGCATTTAAACAATGCATTTATTTGCATGTGCATGTATGAAAGTTAAACAAAGAATATCCAAACTGGTTGATCTAAATATATCTTAAAGCACCTGCACAAATATATACACAGAGAAGAATTTCAGCTCCTTCGATAACATAAACACAAGACTAAAGTTTCTATACTATTTAAACATTTCATATGATACCCTCAACTAGAACAAGTCCACTAAAATACATGTTTATGTCCCTGCATTGTACGAACCAATGTCAACCGTTCAGGGGTGTTTTATTTGGCAAAATAACAAAAAGAATGTTGTCCTATATCTTTTCTATAATCTGAGATCAATTCAAGGGTATGAACTAGTAGTATTCTACATGTCTTTACAATCTATACAATACAATGTTGTTCAGTTGCAAGGTTATGTGAAAATAATAATCTTTTACACTTGTAATCTTTCTCACAGTCAAGTTTTAACATTCTTGCTGATTTACTGTCAAAATTATTATAACTACAATAGCCACATATTTATTTCCCATCATCTGCTTTTAACATTCTTATACTAACAAGCAACATTCCTTCACTCAGTTTTACTGTCAAAATTTTTATAATAGCCACTTATTTATTTCCCATCATCTACTTTTAACATTCTTATACCAACCAGCGACCCTCCTTCACTCAGTTTTTCTGTCAAAATTATTATAACTATAGGCACATATTTATTTTATTTCTGTGTGAAACTGTCTCAATCAATAATATATATGTATTATTAATCATCATCAAAGCGTATAATTATAGTAATTCATCAATTGACTTGAGTCATGTTTATTTAAAGTATGAATAGTGACAAACAGTGATTAACTTGTTTATTTGCTATAATATTATAATTAAAATATAACTTAAAGGTCCAATCACTACAACTTGGGTATCATGTAGCTGTGTTATTTTAGCAGGAGTTTATGTATTTAATGTTTATTTTTAAACTATTGTTGGCAAACTGATCAAATCCATTGAGAATCATAGAAAACTATTGGGTTTCTACTGTCACTTAGTTTAAAATGGTCTGTCTAGATTAGATAATGAGTGTTGGGTTTATAACTGTTTACTTTTACAAGCAGTGTTGAGTAATTAATTAGTCTGTTAATTACTCAACACCTTTTTTAACACTCCATTCAACATAAACTAGATCATTTTGTGACAAACATATGGTAAATTTTTATATCAATAATGACATGTGTGCAGGAAGGGGTCTTTAACAGTAATAAATAGGATGGAAAATTTTGAGGAACTTTGGCAAACATTATGGGATCAAGCCAGTGCCATACTGGCCGATCCCAAATTTATGCCAATTCGCCCTCAAGGAACACATAATCCAAAAGTACAAACATAATTAATCATTTCAAATTAACCATTTTATATTTTCAAGTTTTATATCTCAAAGATAATGAACTGTTTGAATTGTTTGTGTTAGTCATGTCTTCACTGTTTACTAGAATTAAAATATTTAACATTAAGTAATTATATATAGAGAGAGAGAAATGGGGTTTAACGTCCACTCGACACAAACTAGGTCATTTCGGGACTAACACATGGTTCAATTTTATTTCAAAAATTCACTTGCGCGTAGGGGTCTTTAGCAGGAGGAGAAAACCCACGAGGTTGGACAGGCGACCCTACTCCTTGTCACGTACAACCGGTGAATTGAAACCACGCTAGTTGACTCAATGACAGGCCTTATGATACAGCATGCACGTGCTAACCATTCGGCCATCCAATCCCCCAAGTAATTATATAAACTATTTATATAAACTTGATACTCACATACCGGTAATTATAATTTTTAATATTGCACTAAAGTATTATTTACAAGTATATACTGTAGTCTCTTGAGTCTTTTGGAAGTATGAGTTTTTCTACTTTCGCTTTTTACTTTTAAACTTTTCTTCTCTCAAGAAACAGGAAGTAAAATATTAACAGGTGTTCCTAAAGATTCCAAATTCAAATTTGTCGGCCGCCTAAGCTTAAGCAGAGCAATAAACTATTTTTTGATTTTTAAATTATTTGTTTTCAAGAAGTAGGAAGGAAAATACTAACAGGTGTTCTGAAAGGAATAATAATAATCAAATTAGTCTGGCCTAAGCTGAAGGATCAAACCATTTTATTTAAGTAGTTAATCTAGTATTATCCTATAATCCTACTTACAACATGTATTTTGATATTTTTTGTAACAAGTTCTATTTGATACATGGTTAATTTAAACATTATATCGAGATATTAGAATATTAAGGACTATTAAACGGGTTATCAGTCTAAAAGATCAAAGAAAGAGAAATAGAAATGGATTTAAAGGTTCACTGAACCTGCTAGAGCATTTTGTGATAAATATGGGACCATCGCAAAATTTAGACACCCGCGGAATATGGTGGATGGGTAGAAAATGATAAATTTAAATGTAGGTTATTTAATATAGAATCAGTATCACAAATGGAAATATGTCAACATCTTCTTACTCTGCCGTCGACACGGATAGACAGGTAGGTAGGTGGTTCGAGATCTATCCGCGGGTTATTCGTATAGACACAAACGTTGACATTTTGAGACGGTTCCTAATAGTTTTATTGCTATTTCATTTAAATACATGGTGCATGTGTGCAGGACTGTTTGATAATTGAAAATGGGGCGGGGGGCACATAACAAATTGTCTTAGGCAGGTACCTATGGTGTCATTAACCTATTTTTTTAATATCATAATTCTTCTGCTGATGATCGACCTTTCTTCGTTTGTAATCTGTAATTATATGTGTTCTTTAGGGGATCTACAGTTCTTCCTTCATAACAGTAATTATATGTGTTCTTTAGCGGATCTACAGTTCTTCCTTCCTAATAGTAATTATATGTGTTCTTTACTGGATCTACAGCTCTTCCTTCGTAATTGTAATTATATGTGTTCAGTAGCAAATCTACAGTTCTTCCTTTGTAATTGTTCTGTTGATGATCAACCTTTGTGAATTGTAATTATATGTGTTCTGTGGCGATCTACAATTCTTCCTTTGTAATTGTTCTGTTGATGATCGGTCCTTCTTTCTTTGTGAATTGTAATTATGTGTCGAACGTTCTTCCTCTGTGTCAAATTGATGTAATTTAGACTAAACCCATTGAAGCATGTTTCAGCGTTTGATTTGGACCATCAATGTTAACAATATACACACATTTATTTAATTTTCTGGGTGTTTATTCATAAAAGAGAGATAGAGAGAAAAATGGGGTTTAATGTCTACTCAACACAAACTAGGTCATTTTGGGACTAACATATGGTTCAATTTTATTTCAATAATTCGCTTGTGCATAGCTAAAACAAGAAACATTACTTACCAGTATAAGAATAATCAGAACTATCCTGAGAACCCGTTCTTGAATGATGTTCTTCTCCAGAACTAGTTTGACCTTCACCCCTTGTATTACCATCAACAGGGTCTTGTCGTAGGTTATTATAATACGTTCTACCTTCATCAGAACTTCGACCAGATGACAATGTAGAATCGGTATAATTGTGAACTGGTTGCCGTGGCTGGTAGTCATAGTTATTGTTCTTGTTCTCATTATTTACATTCCGCATCGATATCTGTTTAATGTCGCCTCTGTAAATCAGAAAATAAATTCATATCAGGATTAAGTCTTAATCCATATTTCATGATTTGATAACTTCTAAGGAATTTCTGATATTTTTTTTACCTTAAAAGTAAAATACTAAACAACAAACTAAAAATCATACTCAAACAATCTGCACAATTTTTATATTTATTCTCTTTAGCAAAAAGGGGACCCTGGTTTCTAAACCTAGAAACCTATGTTTTAAAGCTGATGATCATTTGCATTTTTTAAACAATATCTATCAAGACTTTAGCCATACTACAATTTGCTCAAATTGTATATTTAGTATGTAATTAAGAAAACAACATGAAAATATCACTGATAGATAATCTGAGTCCATATTAGCGTGGATTAAGTTGTGAGAAATTTGATATCTTCCGACAAAATGCAAATCACACATTGTTTCTTTAATACAATTTATAGAAGATTGACAGAAAAATCGTAAATTGTTTTGTTTATATTCTTTTAGTAATATTATATACATGTAGAAATTACATATTTCTTTGAGAATGTAAAGCACATTCGATCTATCTTGTATAGTCCTACCAACAATCATAAAATTACATGCATAATATATATTTTCATGCTATAAATATTCCTCCACAGCAAATCCCATCAAAATACCAATATGCATCAAATAATGCCCATCAGAAATTTACAAAGTGTTCAAATTCTTATTGTGCATAATCCAAACCATCAACTCAACTCAATGTAGCATTTAATAACTCCATACACAAGTCATAGGATTAGTGTTCAAACAGCATTAATAAAATATTAGAACTGTGAATTAAGTCATCTAACAAAGTTTGAAATGTCAAAATACAGGAATTTGTGCATCTTCAATAGAAGGATTGATCTCGCTTTAACTAAGTACATCTTATCAACCCTTCACATAATACCCTGCATATTTCGGCACTAATTTCGATTGGGTACAAGCCCAGCTTGTGAGCCTATCAGATTCCTCGATCGTCGCGAACACCAAGTCTCATGCTTTCCCGCTAAAATGTCTACCTGTGATAATCGAGTTGCAAAGTTCAAGGTTTGTTCAATGTCAAGGTTTCCGTGGAGGTCTCGATGTCACAATCCCTGGTTGGACGCTACTGTTCACGTGTCTGTAGATAACGTAGCTATTAATTTCGGGAATTGTGAAGTAATCTAGCAACGTCAAGATGTTGTAAAATTCGCAGTCGCTGCTTCAGGAACATGGAATTTGTGTGAACAAATCAATACAGATTTTCTTGGCCTCCGTTTAAATTTTTAATGACAATAATTAGGGATAAGAATAAGATGAAGTCAATTGATTCAATATCCAACTGTAAGGGAGGCAGATCATCATTTAAGGTTCAACAATCAGGGCCTTTATTCACGAAAACTTAAACTAAGATAAAATCGAAATTTTAAGAAATACTGCAATTCGATTGACTGACCAGTAAAATCAATTTGCATATATCCAATGAAGTTGCAGTATTTCTTAAAATTTTGGTTGTAACTTAGTTAAAGTTTTCGTGAATAAGGGCCCTGGAATTATAAGGGTTGCGATTTTAAGTTCAAAGTGTCGAGATATGTCATTTTAATGATCTGGGTAAACGCTGGATTGTTCATATTATGAACGTAACAACTATTTTATCCTCCGATCAGAAATATTCAACCTATGTACTTCATTTGATAATTTGATAAAACTTAACACATATTATTTTGAGGATAAAAATTCAAGGAATTCAAAAGATTTTGTTAATCTTAGTGAGAATCTAGCCTACAAAATGTGGAATATTCTGCTGAAAATAGAATACTGCAACCAAAACCACATGCTAGAACAATAGATGTTTATCTAGATGGCAGATAGTAACATTGTATAAAATCATATCTTCAGTCATATATAAGTCCTAATATTCTCTTTATAATCTACATAAAAATTATGGCATCAAAATTGATCAATTTAAAGCATCCCTTCAGTTAGTTGAGGGTAGTGTGAGTGTCGTATGTATTCATTCTCGAAATACATGCCCCAATTTTAATTTGAGCAATTCGCATACCTAACAATTCTCATTGGTATTACTTGACTTATTTTCTTCATAAACAGTTCAGATATGCAAATTTTCAAATTCAATGGCTGCTTCATTTACAAATATATGGAAGACGTGGATTGTCACCTTTTTAAAAATTGGTATGGAGTGCCTTGGAGAAATGGCATTTTTGAAAAATTCTACTAGCATAGATTTTGACCAATATATATATATTTTGATGGTTAGGGATTGGGGGTGGGGTCTACAAAAGGTACTCTCGCCAAATGGAGTTCCTGCCCAACACCCTCATGTCGTTCCTCAAATGGAGAAGCCTTTAGCTAAAACATGATTTAGTTATATAGAGAATATACAGATCTATATTAATATTAAAATTGAAACAAATAAATAATTCAATCACCACCACAACATCAAAAGCTGGCATTGCTCAACTTAATCTATATGATAATAATACCTAGATCTTCGAGGTAACGTATTAGAGTTACGTTGATTTACGGTTCCTTCGTTGGGGTTTTGATTGTTTTCGTTCAACAGAACGGAAGTATTTAAGGCCACTAAAGATGAGTATTGTGCTTGGTTGTTTAAGGTCATAAAACCCCTGTTGATAAAATCATTAATCAATTTACCGAAACCCAATAAATAAACGAACAAAAAATATGCTAGGATTGGAATGTTAAATACTGCTCTAAATTAAAGACTAACATAAAATATCTATGACCACTTGTGCAGTGCTAGGGGAAGGGAGATTATTCCTAAACAACAGGATTTCCACCTTCTCTTTTTCGAATTCTGTGAGGGTTTGTGATCGGGGCATTGGTTTGAATCATCATTTTTCAAGCCAAAGGAATGGCTTATGCCAGACTGACAAGGAAAGAGAGAGAGAGAAATTGGGTTTAACGTCCACTCGACACAAACTAGGTCATTTCGGGACTAACATATGGTTTAATTTTTTATTTCAATAATTCGCTTGCACATAGGGGTCTTTAGCAGTGGGAGGAAACCGGAGGACCCAGAGAAAACCCATGAGGTTGGACAGGCAACCATACTCCTTGTCATGTGCAACTGGGGATTCAAAAGACAGACAAGGAAATTGTGCCAAGTTGTTTGGATGGGATGAAGAACCAAAGTCCACAACATGTCCACATTGAGATTGAGAGAAATGGGGTTTAACATTGACTGGATTCAAACTAGGTCATTTTGGGAACAACATATGGTTCAATTTTATTTCAATAATTTGTTTGAGTGTAGGGTTTTTGGCAATGGGAGGAAATCGGAGAACCCGGAGAAAACCTATTAGGTTGGACAGGCAACATTACTCCTTGTCAGGTACAAGCGGGGAAATGAAACCATGCCACTTCACTCAATGACAGACATTATGATTTCATACACACGCGTTAACCCCGTCCACGTCAAAGAACCCTTGGCAACAGGAAATCAAAGAAGAGTAGGCAGAAAACGTAACATAATAATAATGACCATATGTTTGTCTGAAAATGACCAATATATTGTATTGAATTGAGACATTAAACATTATATTGGTATCTTCAAAATGAAAGTTACCAAAAAGTGTTGAAACAATAATAGGCTCTAATAGAGGTACAGACTTTTCAGCATTTTACATCCACTCAACACAAACTAGATCATTCTGAGACTAACATATGGTACAATTTATATTCAATAATTTGTCTTTGGCATTGGAAGAATCCAGAGAAATCTCCTATTCCTTATCACGCATACAAGCTTTGCATCGAAACCATATCACTTGACTCAATGACAGACCTTATGGTCTAAAGCGCACACATTAGACCACTTGACCACCCAACAGCCCCTAATAACACATAACATGGATTACAATATTGAGATGAAGTTAATACTATCAAAATATTACCTTGGTGCTCCATCTTCTAAGGGTTGTACAACTACAACTTTTACAATTGATGAACTCCGCAGGATATCAACTGTTTGATCATGTGACAACGTTGCTGTGGATACTTTACAAATTTCAACCAATCGACTTCCTTTTCGTAAGCCAGTTTCCCAGGCAAAGCCATACTGTTCAACATCAGTAACAATGCCTTCTGATTGGATATGAAAACCCAGCTGACCCAATCCATTGCGCTTCAATGTCATTTCTGCAGTCTGCAATTTTTCGAAAAATGAAAGCTTTCAACTATACAAGTTTTATAATTGAGTAATGCTATTACTTGTGTAGACATGTGTCTACTGATCTATCAAAAACACACTATTTCCTATTTAACACCCTTTCTTCATACCACCATTAACTAAAACCCTAATATAGAGAGAGAGAGAGAGAGATGGGGTTTAACGTCCACTCGACACAAACTAGGTCATTTCGGGACTAACATATGGTTTAATTTTATTTCAATAATTCGCTGCGGGTAGGAGTCTTTAGCAGTGAGAGGAAACCGGAGGACACAGAGAAAACCCACAAGATTGGACAGGCGACCCTACTCCTTGTCACGTACAACCGGGGATTCGAAACCACGCCAGTTGACTCAATGACAGGCTTTATGATACAGCACGCACGTGCTAACCATTCGGTCATCCCCCCCCCACCCAATATAGATAAGTCATTCTTATTTTATTACATTGCCAGCTGATCTTTTAAAATTTATATTCATATACCCTTTTCTGGAAGCAGTTTTATATAAGCATTAAGTTGCTTGTTACTGTATCCAATTTATTCATATTATTCCCTCCATGTTTGTATATAAGAATTTCTGAATACTTTTTTAAATCAAAACACACTAAAGTCTTACACATAATATAGACTGAACATATATTTTGATCTTATATTGATATAAAATGGGGGTTAATTAACTTTGCTGCACAAACCAGGTTAATAAGAAAAAACGCTGCAAAAATTCCCCTTATAGCAAACTCCATGGCATATTCTTATCTTCTTAAGCCAGAAAAGGATATCAAATCCCATCTCATATCATTTTAAGTCTGTTTTTAATTCTAAATTTGACTTTTAACATGTCGATAAAGTACAATAGCCATCATTCTGGTGATCGGTGAGTATTTTTTAAGCCCATATTCTTTCAACTTACCTCACATCCCTGAGTTACTCCAGTCAAACGACTGATTATTTCATGCATCTCTTCCATATCACCTGAGCTAACTTTAAATACTATATATTCTCCTTGGTTAAAATATAACTTGATACTGCAATAATAAAGAATATAATATCAAATATTCACCTAAAATTTCTAAGTTTATTCATTCTCTAAATAAATTAATTTCCAACTAGCTTGTATCCTGCAATCAAATCCACTGATGAATCAACCCATTACAGATTAAATATTTTTCACAACAGATTTAATTAATTCTTCTTGCTCAGTACGGCACCACAGTAGTTTGTGCTATGAGTATGAGCGAAATTTTGCCCGGGCAGCAGCATTATGGCCTACTCTTATATCAAATTCCAACTGCCAAGGGATCTTTTACGTGCACACCAATGTATACACGAGAACAGAGGTTTTTTTTCTGTTGTCCCATCCGAACGACTAGACAGTTGACCTTGTTAGGCCCTCTGTCCTGTACCATGGACAAGGGGGAAAACCACGTCGGAAAATCCTGATGAACTATCCCGGCCAATGCAGAGATCGAACACGCAAACCTCCAGGCTAGCAAGTCAGCTTTTTACCCATTTAGCCACCGTGGCTCCTGAAAAGGGGATAAAATACCAGAGTCTTGTGCAAACATTGGCATGCACACAAATGAATACTTGGCAGTTGGAATTTTAAATCATAAAATGTACTGACCTTTTAATCTGTGGAGTCCATCCTATAACACTACTACAGGCCACAGTAAATATGACATCTTTAGTACTTTCTTCTATAATAACTATAGTATTAGAGGCTATAGCTAAATAACTTTCAACTTGACAAGCACTGCCTACATCCTCTACCTGATAATATACAAATCATATAACAAATTAACTTTTGTCATCCATAAATGATCAGCCCAGATTTTATGTTATAATTGTATAATCAACTTTTGTTTAAACTGTGTATGCTGTCCTTGCTGGATGAAATGATACAATAAAATCTTATCTTATCTTATCTTATCTAAAAGTGTGTGTGTGTGGGGGGGGGGGGGATGGGGTAATGGTTAGCATGTGCGCATTGTATCATACGGTCAATTGAGTTCATTGTCGTGGTTTTGATTCCCGGGTTTTTTGAGAAGGAGTAGGGTCGTCTATCCAACCGTGTGGGTTTTTCCCGGGTCCTCCAGTTTTCTCCCACTGCTAAACACCCCTATGCACAAGTGAATTATTGAAATAAATTTAACCATATGTAAGTCCCAAAATGAATTAGATTTTTGTCTCGTCGACGTTAAAATTCATTTCTCTCTCTAAAAAATCCGTAAAATGCTGCCATGATTCCTATAGCTGTGAATGTAAGTTTAGAATGCATGTTTCTTGAAAAGGAGCTGGTCCCAGACTCCCTTTTCGTGATTGGGGTTCCATGGATCACAGTACAATCATATTTGTTTTTATTAATAGCCTAAATTTCATGTAGCATTTATACCTGAATGTTCCAAATAACGGCGCTTTTAGCAAATATATCAGGTACAACTTTCTGTTTCGTTCTTTCTTTCTTCCTTCCACTACCTAGTGCAAATTTACCTGAAATTAGAAAACATAAAATTGATAAATGTTGGATATGTACCAAAATTGCAATACTTTTATTGGAAACAACTACCCGATAAATTCTTTTGTGGAAATGTATCTTCAAATTTTGTAAATATTAAAATTAAACAGGTCTAATGTCTCAATCATTGCGAGAGTTACAAGTTTCCGAATATTCACAGTGTATCAAATGTCATGTCAATTGGATAAAACTTTAACCCGTTGAGCATCCACAAGCCATTGTGGATGTCCAATGGATGGACTGACAGATATAAAATTGAAGTTGATATATGACCATATTTCAAAGTGCGTATGTAAGTGCTATGACAGATATATTCATTGGGAAAGTGATACGAGAGAATATACATGTGAAAAATGCTATGACATCATATCAATGTGCAATCAGATTAAAATACAGATCTATATTTTGTTTTGTTTTTTTATACTTTAGATGGCCTCTACTTCACGAAGATCTGACCAGTCGTAGAGAGGGGGGGGGGGGGGTGAGGGGGGGGGGGGGTGAGGGGGGGAAGTCAGTCGTCATAGGAGCGGCTTTTGACCATATGATGTCAGTTATATAACAACTCTTCCAGATCCTAGTGTAGTAAAGACAAATAAAACGAAATTTTGAACTTTAAAAAACAAAAAGTAATAGGATCTGTGTTTTAATCAGATTGATGTGTAAAAATGCTATGACATCATGTCAATGTGAAAAGTGCTATAGCATCATATCAATGCGTAAAAGTACTATGACATATGAATGTGTAAAAGTGCTATGACATATTATTCACCTTTACCTACTATAGAAATCTGATTAATATACTTACTGAGTTTTGAGCTATTATCTAGGGGTGTTGAGCTGACATAGTTTAATGCCAAATCTTTGAGATATTCTTGACGTGTCCTAGTAGCCATGGATCGGAACTTTTCAGATCTGTGAGCAGCATTTTCAGCATTGATAACTAAAATAAATTAACAATTTACAGCTAAATTTTAACTCATAATAAAATAATTTTCAGAGCTTGAGGAACAGATACAGGATTTTTGTTTGAAATCAAAAGCTGATTTTTGGGACAATACAAACAAAGTAAAGAATACAGCTCCATAAAGTATGCCTTTGTTTTTTTTTTGTAGTCCATCATAAGCAAAAGGAAATGCTCAAATCCACTACAAATGTAGCATAAAGACAGAAACTGTATTGAATGAACCAAGGGGATGGCAGACACAGGTGACAACAATATAAGTTCAGATCACAGTGGAGTATAATTAGAGAGAAAGAGAGAGAGAGAGAGAGAGAGAGATGGGGTTGGTCCCTTTGGGACTAACATATGGTTCAATTTTATTTCAATAATTCCATTGCCCGCAGGCGTCTTTAGCAGTGGGAGGAAACCAGAGCACCTGGAGAAAACCCACGAGGTTGGACCCTACTCCTTGTCACATATAACTGGGGAATCAAAAACACGCAAGTTGACTCAATGACAGACCTTATAATACAGCGTGCACATGCTAACCATTCGGCCATCCAACCTCCCTATTTATAATAAAATATCTTACGTTTAGCTAGTAGAAAATCAACAAATTCTGGAGATTTATTAAATGGTTTTTCTGGTATAGGAGGACCAAATGGTGGAACATCTCTGGATCTTGTTACTGCAAGACTGTAATAATAAAAGACAAATAAATTATCCAATGGTAATTGCAGGACGACTGCACTACACAAAAGACTGTAATAGTAAAATACAAATATATTATCAAATGGAAAGTGCAGGAGGACCACACTACACACAATAATGTAATAGTCATATACAAATGTATTAACTGAATGTACAAAGGGAGATAATTCTTTCACTCACTGAACTGATATTGAAAATGAAACATTCTACTGTTCTGCTCCGACTGGGCTAATGAAGACGGGCATAAGCCAGAGAGTGTCCTATGGGGGAAATTTTGGACAGCAGCACTTTGGCCTAATCTTATATAATGAATTCCAACTGTCAAGGGATCATACACAATGCATCTTTAATGAAATCTAATGAAATGGAATGTGGTTCAACATCCTACTGTTCTGCTCCAACTGGGCTAATGAAGACGGGTATACGCCTACTCTTATATTGAATTCCAACTGTCAAGGGTTCTTTTACGTACATGTCAATATGTACATGGGACCTTAGGTTTTCGTACCATCAGAACAACTGTACATTGTGTTTTGCCTGGCCCTCCATCACCGACAAGGTGGAACCACACTTGATATCCCGATGAACTTTCAGTCAACACAGGATCGAACACGGGACCTCCAGGTTTGCGAGCCAACGTCTTATTGAGCTCTGAACTGACATTGAATTTCAGGTGTTATAATTACAAGCTGTAAATACTGTGCTCAGAATTTTAAATTTTCGGCTGCAACAAAATATGAGTGTTTTGTACTAAAATCAATAAAGAACAATTTATAGTCTTGGACATTTCAGATCTATATTTCGTTTCGTTTTTTTATACTGTCGATGGCCTTCGGTTGTAGTACAAGTTCACGTCAGTGGTCGTACGAACAGCTTTTGGCTGGATTTTACCAAAACCTGAGTGATAAAGAGAGAAATGGGGTTTAACGTCCACTCGACACAAACCAGGTCATTTCGGGACTAACACATGGTTCAATTCTATTTAAATAATTCGCTTATGCGTAGAGGTCTTTAGCAGTGGGCATAAACCAGAGGACGTAGAGAAAACCCATGAGGTTGGACAGGCCACACTATTCCTTGTCACGTAGAACCAGGGAATCGAAACCACGCCATTTGTCACAATGACAGACATTATGATACAACTCACACATGCTAACCATTCGGCTGTCCAATGTTATTTGATTTAATTACTGCTAATTGAATTAACAAGCTAAAATAACTCACCTATAAAGAACATTTTCTGTGTTAGGGTTTGTAACACGTACTATAATAAATACATGTTGAAACTGTGAACGAACTGTTTTAGGTGTAAATGGCAGAGAACCGGCTTCTTGAAATATGATAGTAATAATATCATTACCAATATGTCGCTTTCTAAATAACTGTAATTACATAAATATACAATTTAACACATTATTGGTGACAAATATACAAATTAACACATTATCTGTGACAAATATACAATTTATATTGTATATTTGTTAATACAACTTCAGACACCTTGTTCTGGTGTCCTAAAACTAAACAAGGGATTTTAAGACATTTTTTTTCTCAGAAAATTAAAACTGTTTCTCATTGACGGTAAAATAAATTGGTTATATTGATGCATGTGTTCTTTTGATTGTTGTTGTCAGTTTACTAAATGTTTTATAAATGGTTATCAGAAATTATATTTGAAATAATAAATAAATTGTATATAATATGAAATGTACAGAGAGAGAGAGAGAGAGAGAGAGATGGGGTTTAACATCCACTTGACACAAACTAGGTCATTTCGGGACTAACACATGGTTCAATTCTATGTCAATAATTCTCTTATGCATAGGTTTTTTTTAGCAGTGGTAGGAAACTGGAGAAAACCCATGAGGTTGGACATGCGATCCTACTCCTTGTCATGTATAACCGTGGAAAATATGAAATAGTATACCTGTTGAATATTATTTGATGTAAATGGTAACATGGTTGATACATGAAACATTATTTCACTGTTATTAAATGTTGTATAGTAGGAGTTAGTACCGGTTGAATCAGCTGAAATATAATACACAGGATTTAAATATAACTACAAATATATCACATTAGACTAACATATAAACCGGTAAAATAGCAATACCACATTTCAGATAAATATGCATTTAACTGGTAAACTGGCAATATCACATTATAAATAATCAGTAAACTAGCAATATCACATTTCGGACAAATATGTATTTGCTGGTAAACTGGCAATATCACATATACAGATAACCAGTAAATAAAACTGGCAATAATCATGACATTTCAGACTAATAAAGAAAATCATAGAGAGGAATTTGAAATGAAATGAAATGGGGTTTAACGTCCTACTGTTCTGCTCCCTAATGTGCGAATGAAGACGGGCATATGCCATACAGTGTGCTATGAGGGAAATCTTACTGGTAAATAAAACCACAAACATGACATCTGGAACTAACAAAGAAAATTGGAAAATAATGGGAAATTGGGAAAGGAAAAAACATGAAATGGGGTTTAATGTCAGACTTTTCTGCTCCATCTGGGATAATGGAGACAGTGAATGGAAATGTGGTTTAAAGTTTCCTCCACACAATACTTATTAATTTGAGATTAACATGTGGTCATATTTGGTTCTACTGTAACGTATGCAACACAAGGAGATGAAATTTGCCCATCAAGAAGCATTCGAATTCCAACTATCAAAGGTTATTTTACATGTGCACCAATGCGTACATGGCAGACCGCGTTCTTTCGTCCAATGCAACAACAATGCACACTTTCTTTTTCAGACCTGCTGCAGTCAGGTGTAAATCTTGGCCTACGCTGGGAATTGACCAAGGGATATTCTAGTTGTGGCGGCGACTTGAATGGGATTTTCTTTAGGATCGGAAAGAAACCCCTGAAAAATTCCACATTGTCTGGCAAGAATCTCTATCCCTGTCACAAAAAATCGTAGGAATGAATGAATGAAATGTTGTTTTATGGCACGTCAGCTCCAACCGAGCTATATTGCGGCAAAAAACATTTGTTGGTCAGAACTCACAACTGCAGTTGTGACAAAAATAAAAGGAATGCAACAGCTCATAACATATATAAATAAATAAACTGAACTGATATTAGCACCTGTTGATAGGCTGCATGGTATATCTTACAGGGCATGTTAACTTCTGCTACCATATGGCAACATACTGCCAGCAAATTGATTCAGATCATTTACAGGTACACAGGCAACTGTTTTGGGAGGTCTTTAAAAGCAATGCCAAAATTATTTATTTTGATCAACCTATGATACATTCAGCCAAACCTGAATTTGCATCAATATGCAGTGGGAAAAATGTTGGCGCAGTGGGTAGGGAGCTGGCTCAAGTAAGGAGCAGGCTCAAATGAGAAAGGAGCTGACTCAAGTGAGTAAGGAGCTGGCTCACATGAGTAAGGAGCTGGCTCACGTGAGTAAGGAGCTGGCTCAAGTGAGTAAGGAGCTGGCTTAATTGAGTAAGGAGCTGGCTCAATTGAGAAAGGAGCTGGCTCACACGATTAACAAGCTGGCTCAAATGAGTAAAGAGCTGGCTCAAACGAGTAAAGAACTGCCTCAAGTAAGTAAGGAGCTGGCTCACATGAATAAGGAGCTGACTCAATTGAGTAAGGAGCTGGCTCACGTGAGTAAGGAGCTGCCTCAAGTGAGTAAGGAGCTGCCTCAAGTGAGTAAGGACCTGGCTCACTAACCAGGAGTTCCTATGTTCGATCCCGTTGGTGGCTGAGAAAGTTCCCCAAAGGTCGACAAAGTTAAATAATCAAACTTACTTTTACAATCTAATCCGCCTCGATATTTATCAAATCCTTTTAATCGAATTTTTTGACCGATTAAATTCATAAATTCATCAAATGCTGGACTTCCATTTTCTGTTAAAAGAATAAACAATTCCTAACATTAACATAGTTTTAAAAGAATTGGGATGTAGGTTAAGTTACGAACACCTAAATTCAATTGAATTATACTGTGCCTTTTTAATAAATATTTTATAATGCAAAATGTGTTTCCCCTTATTTTTATTCAATTCCAACCATCTAGGAATGTTTTATATACGTTAGAAATATGTATATTTATGGGACATGCGCTTGATTAAGGCAATCCCCTAGAACACACCACTTGACCTTGTTTATATTAAATAATACAAACCATTATTATACATTTCTTCTTCTGTACACTGTCCTTTCTTACAGTACATTACACCTATTTTATAGGTTGTACTTAACTACAATATATAAACAAACATTATTATTATTATAGGTAGCCCTATTCCTTGAAACCCTAACACTTCACTCAATGACAGATCTAAACAATACACACATTAGACCACTAGGTCACTCACTCCCCACCAACCCCCTTATAGTAAACAGGTTTATGTTGTCTAGAACTCTGATGTTAAAGTTTCTGTATCATGTCAAAATAATAACAGTCCTATTCCTTGTAAAGTACAAGCCTGGGATCCAAACCACACCACTTGACTTAATGAGAGAGAGAGAGAGAGAGAGAGACAGAGAGGGAGAGAGAGAGAGAAAGAGTAATTTCGGGACTAACATATGGTTCACTTTTATTTCAATAATTCGCTTGCGCGTAGGGGTCTTTAGAAGTGGGAGGAAACCGAAGGAACCGGTGAAAACTCACAAGGTTGGACAGGCGACCCTACTCCTTGTCACATACAACCGGGGAATCGAAACCACGCCAATTGTATCAATGACAGACCTTGATACAGCGTGCACGTGCTAATCATTCGGCCACCTAACCCCCCCATTTAGTGACAGACCTTATGATCTAAAGGACACGCATCAGACCATCCCCACAGTAAACAGGTCTAGATCAGTGTTGGCTTGATTTTAAATTTTCTGTTTTATGTCTCAATAATGACTGTGGGTGTGTTAAGGGCAAGTTCTCACTCCAGTAATGATAATACAAGCCAACAGTGAGGCTGATGTCCCCCGCCGAAATTGCAAAATAAATAGATGACACATATTAATTAATCGCACATTTATTTTTTTCACTAAGTTTCATCACTCTCTATCAGATAGAATCAAGATTATCTTGTCCCAAACCATCGACAAATGAAATCGATTAGCTCTGCTTAGCTTCAGCTCGAAATGTTAATTATTGAACTCAGTCAAGACATTCACCTAATGAACATCTACATATACATCAAGTTTAAACATTCACCTAATAGACACCTATGCCAAGTTTGAACATTCTACCTCAATTAGAAGGAGAGTTATTGTGTTCCAAAGTTTCTACCAATCAAATTGCTTATCACTCTGCTTACCCTCAGCAAAAAATGTTCATTATCGAACTTAGTTAAGGTATTCATATAATAAATCTATACACCAAGTTTCATCAATCTCACTTAATTAGAACTAAAGTTATCGTGTCCCAAAGCATCAACCAATCAAATTGCTTATCTCTGCTTACCCTAAGCGGAAAATGCTCATCTTCGAACTCCATCAAGGCATTGACCTAATCAACACATACACCAAGTTTGAACATTCTAGCTCAATTAGGAAGAGAGTTATCGTGCCCCAAAGTATCAACCAATCAAATTGCTTATCTCTGCTTACCCTAAGCGGAAAATGCTCATCTTCGAACTCCATCAATGCATTGACCTAATAAACACATACACCAAGTTTGAACATTCTAGCTCAATTAAAAGTTATCGTGTCCCAAAGCATCAACCAATCAAATTGCTTATCTCTGCTTACCCTAAGCGGAAAATGCTCATCTTCGAACTCCATCAAGGCATTGACCTAATCAACACATACACCAAGTTTGAACATTCTAGCCCAATTAGGAAGAGAGTTATCGTGTCCCAAAGCATCAACCAATCAAATTGCTTATCTCTGCTTACCCTAAGCGGAAAATGCTCATCTTCGAACTCCATCAAGGCATTGACCTAATAAACACATACACCAAGTTTGAACATTCTAGCTCAATTAGGAAGAGAGTTACTGTGTCCCAAAAAGTGTGACGGACAGACAGACGGACAGACAGACGGGACAGACAGACGGACAGACAGACGGACAGACAGACAGACGGACGAACCCATTTTAATAGTCCCCTGCTTTCTTCGAAAGGCGGGGGACAATAAACTTTGAAGTTTGGGTTTTTATCATTTTTCAGAGGTACATAAGTTTATATTCATAAATATAAGTCGAAGATATGAAATGATTTTTGTTAAAAGTAAAATTTTGATTACAACATCTAAAAGTTTTATGAGCGCACCATCGTAGATAACGTCAAAATATTAGACTTTCTTATCAAAAATATAAAATGGCAGGAAAAACAAACTTAATCCTGAAAGTTCGCGATAAATTTCACATCAGGAAAATAAAAGTGAAATCTGATCGGAGCTAAAATGCCTTCGTAGACCTGCACCATTTAAACTTATCTTATTCATATATTATTGCCACACACAGCAATTTCAAATCTTAGCATTTTATGCTTGTCGGTAAAATTGTTAATTCGCATTCCTGCCAGAAATGGATAGGTACAGACAACCAAATTCCTAGAGGTTATTTCAGTTTAAATAAACGTTTGACTTTGAAAATCTTTAATTGCATAGCTTTTAAAAGGGTATCTAACATTCCAAAATAACTTTTCAACAGCTTTGATGATTACAGATTTAAGCGTCAATATGCAAGCCAGAATAATTTGTTGTTTTTAATCAACTATTAATCATACTAACTGTTGAATACGTATATCAATCGAGAAATTCTAACAATTTGAAATATTCTTTAAAAACATTAGCAAACCAGGCCCCGAGTTCACAAAGCTTTAAGTTAAGAATTTACTCAACTTTCAATCACTGTTTATGAGAAATATCTTTGATCCAGAAACACAAAACTTTACACATAGTTTCTTATTGATGTATTTGATACGTTAAAACAACAAAAGTTTTATAAAGGGCTATATTTTAGTTAAAAAAAGGCGAATAATTTTGAGTAAATTCTTAACTTAAGTCTGAGAATGCTTTGTGAACTTGGGGCCTGTTCAAGAATTAAAGATTTTAAACATATTAGAGCAATGTGGAAGTTTGTAAGATTCAATAAGTGAAATGGGGTTTAATGTCCTACTGTTCTGCTGCAACTGAGCTATGAAATGAAATGAAATGGGGTTAATATCCAACTGTTCTGCTCCGAACTGGGCTAATGAAGACGGGCATACATCATGCAGTGTGCTACGAGGGAAATTTTGCCTGGACAGTGGCACTCTTATGTCAAATTCCAACTGTCAAGGGATCTTTTACGTGCACGTCAATGTGTACACGGGACCTCAGTTTTTCCGTCCCATCCGAACGATTAGACAGCTATCCTTGTCAGGAACTTGTGTCCTGCATAACTGACAAGGGAAAACCCTGCGGAAAATCTGGATGAACTTTCTCAGCCAATGCAGGGATCGAACACCCGACCTCCAGCCTTGCGAGGCAGCGTCTTACCCAATTAGCCACCGTGACACTCCCCCCAACCCCCTACTGGGCTAATGAAGAGGGGAAGAGTCTAACTTTATGAGAAGATTGAACATAGTTGGTTTTTATAAACTATTAGTATTACTATTTAAAATATTACTACTTTAAGCTTATCTAAAAGATAATAAAGGTGCTAAAATAAAGAGAGAGAAATGGGTTTAATGTCCACTTGACACAAACTAGGTCATTTCGGGTCTGACAAATGGTTCAATTTTATTTCAATAATTCGCTTGCTCGTAGGGGTGTTTTAACAGTGGGAAGAAACTGCAGGACCCAGGGAAAACTCATGAGGTTGGACAGGCGAAGCTACTCTAGTAAAATTGAAACCACTGATCCAACGCGCACGCATTAACCTCCGGCCCCATGTTAAAATAGATTGAGTAGATTGGACGTAGTTGGTCTTTATAAACTATTACTAATAAGAATATTACTACTTTAAAGGGACTATCCCGAATTGAACAGAGTCTCAAAAATAAAAGTCCGAGTACGTATGAAAATAAAAAGGAATGGTGTATTTACCAGGTCTCAAAATTTCAGCTCGACGTGAACATCAAAACTGCTTATCTGGACACGTAACCCTTTTAAGATTTTGGGTCAATTCTTTCGTTGGGTGACCTGATAATCAATTCCCGTTCCTTTAGAGGTTTATACAGTGAATGACTGGTATGCTGTACTTGATAACGAAAGGTAAATTTCACCTACACATTATTCTTATAAAATTAAAGTCTGGTTTTATCCAGACAGCGCAGAATACAGCTTGGGCAACCGGTCCCCACTTCCAGATTAAGACTGACGGGTCTAAGTTGTCTGAAAACGTATCAAATATACTGAGTTAGTTGCTCGGCCGTAAGGTAGAGGATTTTAAGGGATTTTAACACAAAAGTATCCAGTTTTATTCTCCGAAATATTATCGGGATTGGCCCTTTAAGCTTATCTAAAAGGATATAATAAAAGTGCTACAATATTAAGGCAATTAACTTGTACATCTTATGATTAATGTTTCAAGTAAGGAAGTAGTATATAAGAGTCTCCTATTTCTACATTCAACCAGCTGGTTATTATTTCCAAGTATTTAGTTTACAACATCTTGATCGGGCATTTTCTATCAGGATAAGATATAATTTTATTGTATTATTATTACGTCCATCATAAACTGCATACAAAGTTTATAGTTTTTACATAAACGGTGGAATTAGTCCCGAAATGACCTAGTTGTGTTGAGTGGATGTTTAACCCTATTTCTCTCAGTCTCTCATATGGTGGAACATTCTCATAGCGACCATGTTCTATCTCAAAATTCAACTCAATTACGCAATTTTAATTTATAAAGTAATCTATAATTGTTTGTTCAAAGAGAAATTACAAAAGATACAGAATTTATTGCCATGTGTTTCAAAGTAATGTAAATTTCAGTGAGTTTCAATTCGAGATAAGCATCATGATTATTTGGTATAGGTAACAGGTGCTTGTATATATTATTAGAGATGATATATAATACAGTATATCATAGATAAATATCTAACTGGAATCACAACAGGTTATTTTTATCACACTATATTCAATACCTAGTATGATTACATACCATAGATAAGTATAGAAGAAGAGAAAACAGCTGTCATACAGAATGATTTTCCTGTTTCTCTCTCTAATCTGTTCATGATATACTATAGGTATCTATATCACCAGATCCAAATATTCTTTGTACAGTTGGCATTGACAGCCAATTTTTTTATTTAAGTGATGTGGAGAGGCTCTGTCAAGTTTAGGGAAAACTTCAGAAGAAATCTGGAGACTTGACAAGAGAGAGAGAGAGAGAGAGAGAGAGAGAGATTCATTTCACTCAATGCAAACTTGGTCATTTCTGGGTCTACCATATAATGATATATCTTTATTTTAATAATTCACTTGCATAGAGTGATCTCTGGGCGACAGCAATAGAGAAGGAAACCAGAGATTGCAAGGAAAAACACAAAGGTCTGGTCAAAACATGGACTTTTGTTAAATTTACAAGCAGTTTCCCTAAAAATTGTGATAAAAGATCTGTGAAAGGAACTTTCAATTTACTGAAATTTAACTTTCCTATAGGTCCTGTATTCAGGGAAAACAGTTTTAGATATATAATAGGTCATTTGAAAGTACACGAGCTGAACTAGTTAATGACTATATAAAAGTAACATCCTTGAAATATAAAAGTACAATAGAAATATTCTAGCTATGTAAACTGCCCAACCTAATTATTAGTCACTATCATCAATATGTTACAGTCGCACATAAGCTTATAAATGTTAAGTTTTATGAATCATTAATAACATATTGTTGAAATTCTTCAAAGAAATGGGGTTAATACAAATTGTCTTCCACATTTTGGGACTAACAACATGGTTCAATATTATTTCAATAATTCGCTTGTGCATATGGGACTTTATCAGTGGGGGTAAGTCTTGAGGTTGGACAGAAGACCCTACTCCTTGTCAGGTACAATCGGGGAATCAAAACTATGCTTGACTCAATGACAGACCTTATGATCCAACGTACATGTACATGCGCTAAACCCCCCCAAAACCCCCAATTTTTATATGTTTAGATGGTGGTGATCTGGTCCAATGCTACCCTGCCTTTGGATATGCCCCTGTTGGAAAATACAGTAATTCTATCCTTACAAATATATTTAGCATCTTATAAGCACGGACAGATTGACGAGTAGCATGCAATCTATGACAGGTTCCACAACTTTGTCTACATTTCTTAGATAGTGTTTTTTTAAAATCTTGCTTAATGTCTATTTCAACTCGATGCTTTTTTCAGAATCTGCCATTCTTCTCATATTGTTAGATGCAAAGTAATGAAGAATTGACAGGCAGTAAGTAAAATATGCCAGGTGTTTTGACTCTATGTGCATATCTAAGATGATTTCTTTTTTTTTTGATCTCTGCCTATTCTAGATCCATTCTTTTTCTTTCAGTTGTAAAAATCCTTCAACCTGAACCTATCACTCTCCTACCGACATGTGTTTGATCTTTACCACCTTACCTACCCTTCCTGTGTGAAGAGTTCAAATGTATCAAAGGAAATGAAGAGTTACTTACACCTTGTTCGTCAAGTTTCAGTAGTTGTTCAGATGTTTTGGCACCTGGTGTAGCTTGTCGTAAACAAGACAATTGAACTTCCGGTAAAACATATTCTAATACTTCTTTCATCGGAACACCACGAGAACTACTCAGTCTACTTGATGAGGGTACAGCATCCTCCAATACAGCACCACGTAACGTTGACAGCTAGAAAAAAAAATCAAATCAAAATCTTTTATTTTCATTTATCAATATTTCATTTCTCAAAATTTACAAGTAGTTGATTACACTGGGACCTCAGCATAAAGCAGATTTTATTACAAGACAGGGGACAACATGGGTCCAAACAACTATATTGCGATCAAAGCCCTTTCATGTTAGAAATAAGGGTCTTACTATCACAAGGGTAATAAACAGTTACAGATGTAAAATAGTATTCTCTCAATCTCTAAAGGATTATAACATGGCATTGTGCCGGAAAGTCAGTCACTCAGTGGACCCTGTAGCAGTGTTGTTCCGTGTTCAATCCCTGAATTGGCCGAGACAGTTCATCAGGATTTTCCAGCGTGGTTCCCATTTGTCTGTGGTGCAGGACAGTCACATATTGTCATTCAGATGGGACGAAAAACCGAGGTCCCATGTACATATTAATGCACACGAAAAAGATCCCTTGGCAGTTGGAATTCAATATAAGAGTAGGCCGTAATGCTGCTGTCCGGGCAAAATTTCCCTCATAGCATACTGTATGGCGTATGCCCGTCTTCATTAGCCCAGTTGGAGCAGAACAGTAGGACATTAAACCCCATTTGATCTCACTTCATTTTATCTGAAGTAAATTATCTGAAGTATGCATTCACATACATTGTATACTGTGTAGATTTGTGACGAAAGATAACCCAGATAAAGATCCCATTATAGCGCTAACAAAATCAGTAGACCCAAATTACAGGTTTATATAGAAAAGATCATGTATATAAGAAAGGTCTTGTTGCGAAATACAAGTCCCTCCCTCTCTGTTATTTTACATATAGTGGCAGTGCTATGTGAAGCATTAGCTGCATTACACAGCTCATATCAGCTGTTTGGTATTAAATAATATCCACCTCCTATTGTTTACTTTTGGGAATTTCCCCTACTGAAATGTACTTATAATACTGTTCTGTATTTACTGTTTTAACTTGCCACTGCTTGGAAACACGTTTAAATTTTAATCAAGTTAACTTGAAGGAGATATTATTCAAGACTGAACATAGGGCACCTGTCCGAGACATTCTCAAACACAAATTAACATATGTTGTGTAATCATTTTTGTCTGACAAAATCTGTGATGGGTGCCTTATGTACATGTATATAATTTGTATTTGACATTGTCTGTGACAGGTACCTTTACTGACCAGGCTTGGTTTTAATGATAAATGAACGTAATGCTTATTAGCTTTATGTATCAAATTGGTATTATAATAATAATCTGATTAATCTATTACTTGTAGTAATATTGTTATTTCACTGTAACTTGTGTATATAAAGAGTCTTATCATAATAACAATATCTGTTATCAAATCTATGCAGTAATATTGTTATAATAATGTTGTTAGTCTACTCTAAGTAATATTGTTACTTGTATATAACTTTGTATATATTGTTAATAATATTGTTACTTCAATATAACTTGTATTAATAAACATAGTTTTATTATATTATAATATTGTTATTCTTGGTATTACAGTAATATTATTAGTTGTTTATAACTTGTATTAGTAGTTGTATTATAATAATATTGTTACTTTTAGTATTACTTTCAGTAATATTGTTAGTTACTTGAGAATATAACTTTATATAAATACAGATGGTAGTAGAAGTACCATACATTGATACATTGTACTATTGATTGTAATAACTATCAGATGTCAAGAGGTCATCGTCTAGTGTGTAAATTCTATTATCCACTAGACTTGTTGACTCTTACATCCACCATGTGCTTATTATACTATATACCATACTGGACCTAATAAACGTCCAGATCAAATAAATTGCTAGGTACAGATTCTATAAATCCCTTAGAGATTCTATAATTCCCTATCTTTCTGGCCTAAAGGCAAGCAGCCAAAACAGTACATTGTACTTACTAGTTGATCAACTACACTGTACTAGCGTACAGAAATTGTTTGAATGATGATAATTTTCATTTGTTAAGTAAGTTTTGTGACCTAAGACAAATGGAAAATGCTGTTTGAGGTCTGATAGTCATTCATTAAGAACATGTACCTATATTAGCTGAGTAGCCAGTATAAAATGACTTCGTATTTTGGAAAGTTGTTCTTGGTCATTTGTTAAATTTGCAAAAATGACTCTTGGAGAGATTTTTTCTGCTAATTCAATAACTAAATTAGTTAATATCCCCAAGTACACCATAAATGAAGATCTCTTTTAAGATTTGAGCTCTGTTAATTAAAAACATATACCTGTGTGCTCGGGTTTGTCTGGGCTGCTGCCAATTCAAACTTTTCTTCCTCTCCGAGCATTCTGTCCCCAGAAATGGACACTTTTAAGACCCTTGGTTGGCCATTAAGAACTTCAGGACAAGAGTATGAGCGATTATTACATTGAATATGGTACGGGGAATAATAATAACACTTACCTCACTGGTCCGACATATAATTCTATAATGATACAGCCCATAATCAGCTTTCCCTAGATTATTTCCTCTTTCATCTGCGTCTAATTTCTCTCGTCTTATAGTAACAGCTACTGGACCCAAATTATCATCACAACCAAAAAAATTCTGATGATCTGGAAAAAAAACAATATAATTTTTATATATTCTATACACAATGTTTTTTTTTAAAATCTTTATTTTTTTTTTAAATAATTATAATTAAATAATAAAAAAAGAATCAGGACTTTCATTATTTCTTTTAAATTTGAATCCTAGAATAATCATTTAATAATGAAATGAAATGAAATAACATCCTACTGTTCTACTCCAAACTGGGCTAATGAAGATGGGCATACTCCATACAGTGTGCTATGAGGGAAATTTGGCCCGGACAGTGGTACTACAGCCTACTCTTTTATCGAATTCCAACTGTCAAGGGATCTTTTACGAGCACGCTAATGTGTACACGGGACCTCAGTTTTCCGTCCCATCCCAAAAACTAGACAGCTGTACTTGTCAGCCCTCCGTCCTGCATCACTGACAAGGGGGAACCACGGCGGAAAATCTGGCCAATGCAGGGATCGAACACCAGACCTCCAGACTAGCGAGCCAGCATCTTGCCCACTTAAACACCGTGCCCCCCCCCATTTAATAATACAAATGCAAATAAGAAGTGGTATCAGCAACCCTGCCTATTCTTCAGTCTATGGAAATACCAGATCTTGTGACAATGTATTAATTTGATTGGAGAGCAGAAACCAAATCTACATAATGACTGAAATCCAAAACTTTTCACTTGTTTACGTGACCTGCACATTCAACCCAGTGAAAAAGAGACTAATTTTCTATAGCAATGGAAGTTCGCCTGTCAGAATTACAAAATCAACAAACAGCATAATTTTGAGCAGATCTAGAGGGCAAATCCCACCACAGTGTAAAAGAGATCCAGTTATTACAATGGTGATGTATGACAGAGTGAGAACTTGAATAATGGAATCAAAATATAACGAAATAGTATTAATAAAGTATGTAAGGACTGTGTACACTGTACAGTATAGCCCTGCCTGATGCACAATACCTGTCAGCACTTATTCATGTATAATAGTTCACATGAAGTTGAACAAGCCAACAGTGAGGCTGATGTCCCCCGCCGAAATAGGAAAATAATTAGAGAGTTATTGTGTTCCAAAGTCTCAGCAAATCAAATTGCTTATTGCTCTGCTTAATCTGAGCAGAAAATGCTCATTATCGATCTTAGTCAAGGTATTACTGTAATGAAACTATACACCAAGTTTCATCACTCTCACTTAATTAGAACTAAAGTTATAGTGTCCCAAAGCATCAACCAATCAAATTGTTTATCTCTGCTTACCCTAAGCGGAACGGACAGACAAACAGACAGACGGACGAACCCATTTTAATAGTTCCCTGCTTTCTTCGAAAGGCGGGGGACAATAAGCATGAACATTTACTCAATTCGAAGATCAACCAATCAAATTGTTTATCTCTGCTTACCATAAGCGGAACGGACAGACAGACAAACAGACAGACGGACGAACCCATTTTAATAGTTCCCTGCTTTCTTCGAAAGGCGGGGGACAATCAAAGTAGGAGAGTTATTGTTTTCCAAAGTCTCGACCAATCAAATTGCGTATCGCTCTGCTTACCCTGAGCAGAAAATGCTCATTATCAAACTTAGTCAAGGTATTACTGTAATGAAACTATACACCAAGTTTCATCAATCTCACTTAATTAGAACTAAAGTTATCGTGTCCCAAAGCATCAACCAATCAAATTGCTTATCTCTGCTTACCCTAAGCTGAAAATGCTCATCTTCGAACTCCATCAAGGCATTGACCTAATCAACACATACACCAAGTTTGAACATTCTAGCTCAATTAGGAAGAGAGTTATCGTGCCCCAAAGTATCAACCAATCAAATTGCTTATCTCTGCTTACCCTAAGCGGAAAATGCTCATCTTCGAACTCCATCAAGGCATTGACCTAATAAACACATACACCAAGTTTGAACATTCTAGCTCAATTAAAAGTTATCGTGTCCCAAAGCATCAACCAATCAAATTGCTTATCTCTGCTTACCCTAAGCGGAAAATGCTCATCTTCGAACTCCATCAAGGCATTGACCTAATCAACACATACACCAAGTTTGAACATTCTAGCCCAATTAGGAAGAGAGTTATCGTGTCCCAAAGCATCAACCAATCAAATTGCTTATCTCTGCTTACCCTAAGCGGAAAATGCTCATCTTCGAACTCCATCAAGGCATTGACCTAATAAACACATACACCAAGTTTGAACATTCTAGCTCAATTAGGAAGAGAGTTATTGTGTCCCAAAAAGTGTGACGGACAGACAGACGGACAGACAGACGGACAGACAGACAGACAGACAGACAGACAGACAGACAGACAGACAGACAGACAGACAGACAGACAGACAGACAGACAGACAGACAGACAGACAGACAGACAGACAGACAGACAGACAGACGGACGAACCCATTTTAATAGTCCCCTGCTTTCTTCGAAAGGCGGGGGACAATAAAATTAATCGTTAAGTGGTTATATTTTAGTCCTTTAAAGATACATTATGGAAGAGCAGATAAGAAGCTAACAGTTTTGACGATAATAGTGTAGAAACTAGATAATCTAAAGGGAATAAGCTGAAAATTTTAGTCAAATTGCTCCACTCTGAACCAAGATATTAGCGACTAATTTTTCAGCCTAGCCTCGGTCATCATTACTAAAGACGGTATGATAAAAAACATAGTCTCCATTATCCATCTTTTTATTTAATCATCAATGAGCGTTGAGCAGCAGATCGGATTCAAATCCAGTGACAATCCGACACATAAGATGCCATTGAGAGTTGATTAAGTTTTTTTCATTATAATAAATGTCTAATTAATACTATTAATAGTTTATATAATATTTCAGGCCTAAAGAAAGACCTCCAATAGGCAGATTTAGCTCTTGCATAATGTATGTTTAAGCTTGTTTGTTTCCATTAATCTCTTGCAGAAAAAAATGCATTGCCTATTAATTTAATAAGTTTGTTGCCGAGTTTAGCATTTCTTTTTTTAGAATAATTATGTTAATAGTCCCTTCATACTTCATACATGATGGTATTAATCAAAATTGACATTAATTAACTAGGTTTATCAATTTCTAATCCAAATTTAGATTAGAATTTTTAGCAATTAAATTTAACAAAGAATGTATCTGTTTGTTAGATAGTATATATGTGCACACATGTTAAAACCTGATACAGAGTATCAATTTCATTTACTTCTTTTGTACAGATGTTAACTTTTTAATTAAATTTAAAGATACATGTATGTAAGATTTAGATAAAGAGCTGATCGTTTTTGCAATTAGTAGTTTAGAAATAAATCATGAAAACTGATTATATTGAAAGAGAGAAATGGGTTTAACAACCACTCGACACAAACTAGGTCATTTTGGGACTAACATATGGTTTAATTTTTATTTCAATAATTTGCTTGCGCGTAGGGGTCTTTAGCAGTGGGAGGAAACCGGAGGACCCGGAGAAAACCCACGAGGTTAATTAAATTGAAAATTTTAGTCAAATTTGACTAAGTTTATATTCTGTGTGTTTGATGTTTTGACAAGAATAGCCGATTATCAAGTACCATTGCCATGATAATAAACATAGTCTCAATTGTCAGTCCGTTGATAAAGTGACATACATTTTAACATTAACAAATTATATGGCATGGATGATTTAATTCATTCAATATCTCAGCCATCTGTTGGTCTATAGAGTTGATTATGGGCTTGTCATGTGATGCAAGAAAGTAGACCTGCAATAAGCAGATTCAGCTCTATGCCTCTTTAACTTTTTAATTAAATTTATCTGAATCATGTTATCTACACTAATGGGAGGCCAAAGAAAGATTCTCTATTTGAGCTAACAAAATTCTATTTTGGTCCATGTACCAGTATCCTGTTATATTCAAATTCATCTCACATATGTACATATTGTGCATTGTGAACATGTATGTATAATTTACCAAGGTATTAGGTTTATGTGAATTGCGCATTTACTTTATGTAGGTATTAAAGATGCATTATATAAGAGGTGGCCGGTCTTGCTCAATCTGGTTAAAACACAGATGCTATTTCGTTTCGTTTTTATAGTAACATTTCGTTTTACTTGTCTTTACTACACTTGGATCTGGAAGAGTTGTTATTTAACTAGTGTTCTGAATGGTGTCAGGGATACGCCAATGAAACGGTCTGTCACGGCGAGCTTTAGGCGTGTTTTGCACGGAACTGTGGGTAATCCACTAGTAACATCAATGCTGATTGGTTAATCAAATGTCTGACATAGGCTCATAAGTCGGTCTTTTGACCCCTGACGTGACCTATCGCTACAACTTGTCAGATCTTCATGTAGTGTAGGCCATCGAAAGTATAAAAAAATCAAAAAACGAAATATAGATCTGTATTGTAATCAGATTGGGTCTTGCTATAATAGTTCCAAAATGGATATATTAATATCTTGAAAATTTCATTCAAATTAGTTAATTCTGAGCGATATTATCACTGTTTGAAGTTTTGACTTAGATTGTTTATTATCGCAGCAACATCACTTGTTAATTGAGACTCAGCTGCGCTTCACAATTTTAAATTAAATCATAAAATAGCGATCATATCAGAGAGAGCTGATCATAGGCTTGTCATGTGAATAAATGTCTAAATAATAATTTATATTTTATATCATTTGAAGCCAAAATAAAACCCTGCAATATTAGCTGATTTCATTGAAATTATATTTAATATTTCTGGAGGAAAAACTGAAATTTTATTAATTGTAACTGACAACAGATAACGAATACGGAAGAATCAGTTCAAACAGCCCTTTGAAGTTTGAATAACTAAATATTATTTTGAGTACCCAAGGATTCAAAGATTTGAAAGTAAACTTCATAAGTTTCTAGCAACTATTGGGAGGTACTGGTAGATACATAGAGAACCAAAAAGGATTAGATTTGAAAGCAAACTTCATAAGTTTCTAGCAACTGTTGGGAGGTACCGGTAGATACATAGAAAACAGTTGGATATAAGTGTTTCACCTGGTAACAAGTACATCCTAAACTTATTTGTAATTAACACTTCACAAATAACGTTTTACTGCTACTTATAAATTTAAGATGTGCCAAATATCCTAACTGATCTATTTGCCACTACTGATATTTTGCTATCTTGTTTTATTTCCAATCTTAACATGTACTGGTACGTTTAAAGTTATGTACACACAATCCTTCCACAAGGTGGATGATAGTAAATTGTACCAGAAGGACATTTGATTTCAATATCCATATGAACAAGCCTGGATACACAGCTGGGGATCACGGTGGCTAAGTGGGTAAGATGCTGGAGGTCGATTAGCCCAGAAAGTCCATCCAGAATTTCCGGCATGATTCTCCCTTGTCAGTGATGCAGGACGGAGGGCCTGACAAGGACAGCTGTCTAGTCGTTCGGATGGGACGAAAAACTGAGGTTCCGTGTAGCTATTTTATATAGCTTCAGCACTAACTTGCCCCAAAAAAGAAGATCTAAGATGGCAACTACTGGTATGAGAAAATTGGCATTTCAGGAGTTTTAAAGAATAATGTAGAAATCTTAGTGTAACTTACCATATCCATAGAAATAATGCCTATAATAACTACATCCATGATCAACATATTCAATCACATGACCTCTGTGTGTCACAAGGGGAGGTAATATTTGTCCTGCCGGTGAAGGTGAAGAGTCTAATATAGATACACCACAACACGTAGGATGACGATTTAAATCTGCTGCACTACTTTGTTGATTTGAATAATTGCCGTATGAACGTTTATGAGCCGGACAGCGAGTAAAACTTATCACACGTTCTTCCTCGCCACCGATTTCGTTACGGAAAAAGGGACAACTAAGCACCATACAGTTACTTTTTTTATCACCATCATCCGTGCCAGCGATTAAATCAGGATCCTCTTTATCCCCAACTATACTGTTCCTATTCACAGAAGCAGCCGACGCTCCAGTAGAAATATTTTTAACAATCCCAGAATAATTCCGCGTTTTAATCACCTCTGCCAAATTCACACCGATACTTTGACAATCAAAATGCACAAAACACTTCTTACGATTCCTTTCCTCGGAACGATTGTCTTCAGGACTTTTTTCCTCCGGTTTTGAGTTCACATCTGAGTCTTGTTTATTTCCGCGTAATTTCTTCAAAATTCCTGCACTAGCTTCACCCGTTATAGATTTAGCACGTAGTTTTCTGTCTTTATGCTTTGACTTTGTCTTAGATTTTGGACTATCATTATTAAATTCATTTTCCTTATCATAAGGTGCCGAGCCATTTGTTAAAGTCATGCTCCGACCACTTCGAGTTATGTTTCCTTGAAGCAGTTCTTGTAATTTCGGAGGAGCAGGACTTCGTTGATCAGGATTCTCATTTTCATAATTCTTCAACATAGAGAAGAAATCTCCGCTTGAGTTACCTAGCAGATCTAATGACGATGTACTACCGTATTCTCTCCGTGCTGATATATTCGTAGGCGATGGCAAGTCTTGATCAATGTGATCCATGCTATCCATCTCAATACTGTTGCTACGATACAAATTTCTGATCGTTCGATTAGTCCGTGCCATTTTCACTTGTTCCGTGACTGAAGGTGGTGCTTTCATTGCACTTCTCGTTTCCATGGCCTGATTTGGCACTCGTGGTCGATTGGCATGTTGGGATGGAAACATCCTCATGCGACTCCGACCGGTCCCGATCCTTTCATTCATAGAACTACGCATGTCTATGACACCTGCTTTCATTTTAGCACGATAAAAACTATTAGAAGAAACAGGAGCTAGACCAGAATGCAATGCATCTTCTGTCGATCCGTAACTAGTCTTATCATAAATACGATTGCCATTAGAATTGTACATATCTGGAGAATTGTTCGTGGAGGAAGATTTCGGCTGAACCTGACTGTGATAATATTCGGCTGCCTGTTCGGCACGTTGTCGGATAATATCCAAGTCGGAATGTTTCTTCACAACCTGTCCATCTGAAGCCATTACCAGAATATTTAATATGATAAAATATAAAATTTCAGGATCAATTATTTAAAAACATGATCAATTTTTTAAAAAAAAACATGCAATATACATAAATAGAGTTATAATCCATTACTATATTTCATATCACAGAAAACTGAATTGAAGCCGGAAGTTAAATCACAATATTAATTAAATACACACACATCACTTTCCTTGCATAAAAAAATTCCAACACGTTAATTAAATCCAATTTTCATGGTGGTCCCCTTCAAACCGACACAATAACAGTTACATTTTGACCAGAGTAATAATTAAAGCAACTATTCCATCATCTTCAACGTAATAAAAGTAAAACCTATTCAATTAACGTATATATAGACAATTCTCGAGTTAAACGGCAGGACATCCTCTGATTTTTAAGTGATTTCTCCTTTATATTGCATCCTGAGTTACAGTCTGTTGATGAGTCATATGTATCTGGGAAGTGAAATGGTTGCCAAGAAATAGATCTGATTGGTAACCTGAAAAGATATAATATTTATAATGTTTATAATGATTACAGGCAGGTATTTACACTATACTATAAATGGCAGCCTAAACAAAGGGAGTAGAAATGAAATGAAAGGAAATGAAATGGGGTTTAACGTCCTACTGTTCTGCTCCGACTGGGCTAATGAAGACGGGGACAGGGAGTAGAAGAAATTGAATTTATAATAAAATACTATAAATGGCAGCATAAACAAACAAAGGGAGTAGAAGACATTTCTATTTCTTCTCGTTTGGGTGTAAGGTTTATAATCTATACAACTACAAGTCACAGTGTTGTATACAATTAGCGTCGCCTTCCTAACCTTTTCAGGTTTTCTCTGAAAGCGGAAGTGGTAGTCCATGTTGTTCCCAGGTCCAAGCTACATGTACCCCTATATACACCAAATTTCAGCCTCAGGACAGCCCTAATGTAGTCACCAACCCTGAACAGACAGACAGACCGACCGACAGACCGACAGACAGACCGACAGTCATAAATATTAGTATAGATTAGAGTAGAAGGATTATGTAAGAGCTTCTTCACCCTTTATTCTACCTCCCTGTATTAGTACACAAGTTAAAAGTCTACTTTCTTCATTCCCTATGTCAGTACATAACAAGTTTAAGTCTACTCCCTGTGTCAGTACATAAGTTTAAGTTTACTCCCTTCACTCTACCTCCCTGTGTCAGTACATAAGTTTAAGTCTACTCCCTACCTCCCTGTGTCAGTGAAGTCTACTCCCTACCTTCCTGTGTCAGTACATAACAAGTTTAAGTCTACTCCCTTCATTCTACCTACTTGTATTAGTATATAACATGTATTAAGAGTCAACAACGGAACACTGAACTCTATTACAGGTTAATTTAACTGTCAGGGTTATCCAGACATAGTCTAATGAAGACAAATAGAGAATTTAACTACACCGATTTATACACAATTACACACCGACACAAACATTAAACAAATTAACCATTGGGAAGGGTTCATTGAATGTTTCAAATTTGTTGTGGTTTTTTTTGGCCTATTTATGTTACAAACCCCAGCAGTTGATTGCCTTTTGCTTTTTTTGGACAATTTGCACAGCTTAATCCACGTTTAAATGTATTGAGACTGATTATTTAAAGATACATTATGTAAGATTTAGATAAAGAACTAGCCATTCTTGCTATAATAGTTCGAAAGTAGATGATGTAAAATGAATAATTTCTAAATTTCATTCAAATTTCTCTATTGCAAGCGAAGATATTAGCCTTTGAAGGTTTGACAGACGTGTGCAATAATTTCAACCATCGTACTGGTTGATCGATGCTAAGTCTCGGTCCTCCATATTTGATTAAATCAAAGTATCGCTGAACCATTCTAATCTATTTAATATCGGAGAAATCTGATGCCATCGAGAGTTGATTAAGGAAGGCCTGGATCAGTTAATTAATGTCTAATTAATACTTTAGAAAACATTTCAGGCCTAAAGAAAGACCTGCAATAGGCAGATTTAGCTCTTGCATAATGCATGTTTAACATTTAGTTAAAAAAAAGAGAGAGAGAGAGAGAAATGGGGTTTAATGTCCACTCAACACAACCTAGGTCATTTCGGGACTAATACATGGTTCAATTTTATTTCAATAATTCTCTTGCGCGTAGGGGTCTTTAGCAGTGGAAGGAAACCGGAGGACAGGGAGAAAACTGACGAAATTGGACAGGCGACCCTACTCCTTGTCACGTACAACCAGGGAATCGAAACCCCCTCCAGTTGACTCAATGACAGACCTTATGATTAGCGCGCACATACTAACCATTTGGCCATCCAACCACCCTTTAATTAAGAAACATAACCAAAATATCAACAGTAGGTAACCACACAATTTGGATTCCATTGGAATTATTGCTTGGCGTTCAAATTTTCATCTTTTAACGTCTATTGAGTTCAAATTGATTACTTTAATACTTTAATCAGCGAATTTATCGACATCGATTTGAACATGTGATCACGTTTTTTCAACTATGTCCAGCCACAATATTCAACAAACTTGCCAAAAGGCTTTGAAATCGACTATACTGTCACATGACATCTCCATGAATAAGGCTTTTTAATATGTAATCTTTAATATCAGGAGACAAAATCTTCTTGCAAATGTTAAGAAAAATTCCTTGTTCCATGCAGTAACACCTGTCAAGCAATGCTTCAAGGCAATTCCTTGTTCCATGCAGTAACACCTGTCAAGCAATGCTTCAAGGCAATATGGAATCTTTTAAAATTTAAAATGATAATAAAGTGTACAATTCCAGAAAAAACACAAGCACACTATAAGAATTTCAGACTGCTGTTACCCATAAAATCAATATTAACTTAAGTTTCTTCATACTTCTTTTTTACTCCACTATCAAACAATGGTTACATTATACAGAAAATTATCTTTTAAAAAAAGAAACCAACATTTTCAAGTAATTATATTCTGCCTATAAGTATCGTTTTTCATATCTACTGTTTTTCTCACGGACGGAATAATAAAATGCACATGTAAAACAAAATGTCTGAATACCATTTCAGAAATTAAATCATCTTTATTGACATTTAGTTATTCATTAATTCAATAATCTGTGAAATGCTAGAAGTAATGGCCCCTTGTTAATACATATATAATGTAGGAGTGACTGCCAGTTATCATTCATACATAAATTTACCTATTTTTCTGAGTTTTTATCCTTTTTCAATGTAAAAGGGAAATGAAATGAAATGAAATGGGGTTTAACGTCCTACTGTTCTGCTCCTAACCTGGGCAAATGAAGACGGGCATACGCCATACAGTGTGCTATGAGGGAAATTTTGCCCGGACAGCGGCACTACGGCCTACTCTTATATCGAATTCCAACTGCCAAGGGATCTTTTACGTGCACGCCAATGTGTACACGGGACCTCGGTTTTTCGTCCCATCCGAACGACTAGACAGCTTTCCTTGTCAGCCCCTCCGTCCTGCATCACTGACAAGGGGAAACCACGTCGGAAAATCTGGATGAACTTTCTCGGCCAATGCAGGGATCGAACACCCGACCTCCAGGCTAGCGAGCCAGCGTCCTACCCACTTACAATGTAAAAGGGAATAAAATGAGTTTTAACTTTAACATCTTATCTTATTCCCGAATCCTTTATTCCTTCAGGACAGGATTAAGTTGAGTTTTAGGGACACCAGCCCAGGGGCTCTCCACCATCTAGAGGGCCTCCTGAGAGAGAGGGAGAGAGAGACACACACACACACACACAAACTAAGTCATTTTGAGACTAACACATGGTTCAATTTTATTTTAATAATTCGCTTGAGCGTAGGGGTCTTTAGCAGTGGGAGGAAACAGGAAGACCCGGAGAAAACCCACAAGGTTACACAGGCGACCCTTCTCCTTGTCATGTACAACCAGGGAATCGAAATCATGCCATTTGACAGACCTTATGATACAGCGCGCATGTGCTAACCATTGGGCCAACCAAACCCCTGCCTCCTGAGAAATTATGGCCCATTATTTGTCAGGATCATTATTTCAAGACCTCAAAAAAAATTAAACAGCTATAAATATTCAAGGTCTAGTTACCAATTATATTAAATATTAACCCAAATCTGACAATTATTATCTCTTCTTTGTAAATCTTTTTTATCCGTTTATTGGGTAAACAGAATATTCAACGAACCCAAATAATGCATGACCTTTCAATAATTTTTACCCTTGTTTCAAATACCAAATCTTCATATTGCTATATTTAAATTTCATTTGTCTATTTAGCGGACAGAAATAGTAATCGTACCTTCTGTCGAAAATGTTAGAGGGCGGATAGCAGAAGGTCGAAAACTTGGCATCTAAATAAACCTTGACATCAAAGACTATAGGAAACGACAACCAGGTATTGTACCAGAAAGTACATATATTTGTTTATGATTTGCGATAACATGATTATTATCCGTGCCACGGTAATACCAGCTGGTATGAAACCTATAAAAGATATAGCGTCCATCTTCTCACGGTATTTCAATTACTTTTTGGCACAGGTATATCATACGCAGTGAGTAGCTCTAATAGGCTTAAACAGGTACGAGGTAGCCTATGATATATACACCATATGAATTATGTGATTGTACATATTACTGTGTAAGTAAGTGTATTGTGACTTATTCAAATATATATCAGTTTACTATATAACCCATACTGCCATTGTATCAGGGCCCTTATTCACGAAAACTTATACTAAGATACCATCGAAATTTTAAGAAATACTGCAATTCGATTGGCTGACCAATATGCAAATTGGATATATGCAAATTGATTTTACTGGTCAGCCAATCGTATTGCAGTATTTCTTAAAATTTCGATTGTATCTTAGTTTAAGTTTTTGTGAATAAGGGCCTAGGTCCTAGGGAGTTACCACATGTATTTAAAGTGATAATCATCTGACTCTGTTAAAACATTTTTTTTTTCTCAATCGATCAAGAAATAACCAGCGCTCCTTAAAGTAGCTAAGTCTCTAACTCACTATCATCCAAAATCTTCAACATTGAAAACACGATTTATTTGTCAAATTAAATCAACATTCATGTTGTGATCTTACCGGAAAAAGATGGGCTTCTGATATCCAATATTTAAGACAAAATAAACATTTTACCATTGGTACACGAATCGTGTACCATAATGCGCTTCAGCCCCAGTTGTATCAAGAGACTCGAGGGATGAGGCTAGACACATTGCACCAAATCAAACGGCGTATGTAGACTGGAATAACCAGACGCTAGAAATTTGCACTCGCTTGAGACTGCTGGCTTATTTCGCCGAACATAACTGATTTGAAATTGGAGTAAAAACGGAAACCATTGAATGTAAATCAGTTTATATACATTCACACTACAGTATTATATGCGTTGCGACCCACTTTTGTCAATTTCTAGGTCCCAAATGTTAGCGATTTAGCTCCTTTAAGTCAAGGTGGCAGACAATAGGGCCGTCAGGTTGCCA